TATATATATATATATATACTTCCAATCCAAAATACCTTAGATTTCGTTTCAAAGAGGTTTGCTAGACAATTGGTGGATCTATTGCTGGTCAAAGTTCTGCTTTTGACACAAGATTTCATACCATGGAAACCTCACAAGCTCACATGGAACGGCCTTTCACTTGGTATACGAAATGTGCCACAAGAACGCTTGATGTCTGGCAAGCTTTTGGGCGTTCTGGGTGGCTGTCACATCCATATTTCTTAATATCTGCTCAGAAATCGTTATACTCTTATGACCTTGTACAGGTCGGCCCTCTCAAATAAAGCGAACCTCACCTTGATGGACCACCGCATGGTGAACCGCCTCGAACTAACCTCAATGGTCAGTGTGCAAACCAATGAGAATCAACCTCAGTACATGGGCTACGACACAGGCCACGTGACCTCAGATCCCGACGGCCTATTGTATACGTACAGTTGTGGCATTCTCACTTTACTGTGATAAGGTTTCTCAAGCCATCAGGTTTTTTGCTTAACATTATGGCGAGCTAAGGGTTGCACCCCCGGGATAGATGGCAACCACTTTTATGGGTCTCCTTAGGATTCACATTATCGTTGAGGGTCTTCTAGGGAGGGGGCTATTTAAATGGATCTTTCCGGGGTCATCTCAAGGTCGAGGCACTAGCTCTGTTCAGTGGTTTGTCGTCTCATTCTTCCGTTCAGTAAAGGCATGTATAGGTTTTATGTTTTGTCATTGGTAATGTTTTCTGTTTCGCCGCTCTTTCCCGATACCTCTACTCTATGCATGAATAGGTAATTCATGCAGGGCGGTAAATGATGAGGTGCGCTAGTCAGTGGGCTCCACATGAGAATATCGGTTACCGCATGGTGGCCGTTGAGCTCGTGTCGCGGCACTGTCTATCCGAAACTCCACCTTACTCCACTAGCAAACTTTCCATTCACCGGAACCCTGAATACATTGGACAACGAGTACCAGTGCCATAAGTGTGCCCCTTGCGTGACTTCCACGATGAACCCGACGTGAATATCATGTAAGCATTCAGAACGCGTTGTCACTCACTGATGCAGAGTAGAAAAACGTTTTCCATGTTTCCAACAGAAAATGCGGATGCACCGAATATGTATGGTTTTAGCTACTACAAATGTCCACTTCAAGGCATGATGTTTTAAAACTGAAATTCATAGACCAACCTGCGCTCCGTACACTATTACCGTCTGATGTCTGCAAAAGTGCGGTCGAATTTTATCCATCACTTTACTTAGCCTTTACAGTCTTTATTCTGACACATGGAGGAACTGTCCTCAACATACAGAAAATGTAGCAACCGAATGGATATTTGCGTTTCTTGGTTAGTGGCATCGACCACCGACCCGCTAGATTACGACAGTTTGTTAGTGTTCTTGCTGCTGGTTGATAGGCAAAGTGATTGGATGCTCGCATTTTCATGGCGTTTGTTTCTACCGCAACTATCAATTGTGTAGACCGTTCATTGTGTCTGATCAATAATTTTTATCCATATTCTAATGGATTCAGGTAATATATTTTCCTGCAATTCACAGGAAGTTGTCAAATTTTGATGGGATTTGCGGCTCTTTATTCATTTTTTGGGATCAGAAAGTTGCACCGACTGTTTGGCATGTAAATCAGCCATTACTTCATGTATCCAGCGCATATGCACAATTCTAGCCTTGGAATTTTTATTCACGAACGCTCGGATAAGGTGGTAACTGTCCAATTATCAAGGACACCGTTTTGCAATAATTCATTGTAAGTGATACTGATTAAGGCATTCGGATGAAGTCCGCGCTTGTTCAATAAGTCCATAAAAGGAGGTAGACTTCATGCAGGAACCCGGATTTACATGTCTGTTGAGCCGTTCTTGGGAGGGAAAGCGGAATTTACAGACAGATGGCCTGCGAGCCACATCAGAAAACACTAACGCAGTCGACGGACAAACCAAAATGTTGGCCGAATGAATTTGATATAGCTCTTGTCACCAAACACTTCCAACAACCGCCAACTTCATAAACAAGTGCCTTGAAGGTCATTTGCTCAGTAAATTTCTGAGAGTTCTTTTGCCGCTTCAGCTGTGAACTGTCATTCGGTTGTGCAAGGTGCCCATTTCTTTAGTCTCGGTTGTTTTATTCGATACCAGTTCCGATGCTTGAGCTAGTTGTTTCGAAAAAGCATAGTTTTCAGACGTGGACCCTAGCACCACGTTAAGCTCTCTTTAGAGAACTGACACGTGCCCGATATGCGTAGCTGCAACCTTCCACTTTAAAGATTTCGATACCGAAGTTGTATAAAGATCTAAGGGACCTCATCAGAGGCCTGTGGCCTTCCAGCTATCCAAGGATCTATATTCCGTAGACAGTTTAGTTTTCGTAGGATTTCGGTCAACCCTAGTCAGACAATATTCTCTGACAGTCAACCATCTACCTATTCGATGCCCCTAATTATTCACCGGCTCTTTTTTCTGCCACTAATATCACATCAACGTGTGGTCCACACATCTAGCTCCTTAATCCCAAATATGCACTTTTCTAACTGCCGCTTCTCTCGTCTTTTTTCTGAAATAGTTGTCTTTTTCCCCGGTGACACCTGCACCCGCATCTTCCGAACAATCCGATTCCCCAACGTACCCAGATTTGTTGGCTGTCAAGCTTGACTGCACGCGATGTCGTGTTACTTGCTTCTACGCTGATCACAGGTTAGTCAACGCATGTACATGTCTTATGACGGGGATGTCCAGTCAATTTCTCCATCATTCATATTTATTTCCTTGTTAACGGATCTGTCAGCCAAAGTGAGGGTTGAACTGCGTAGAACTCCTTTATTAAACCACTCACTATTTGGAGATGTGAGCTTTCTTTTGCAGCCTGCCACATTGATTAGCGCCTTCGAAGTTCCTAATCAATCGCGGGCCAGTGTGACTGTCCTTCTCGGGTTCACTGATCGAACTTTCTGTCTTTTTATGACGTCCCACAAGTCGTGTGAGCTTGTTCTGGTCAGGAATGTGTGACAGACCGCTCAGCCCCTTGGTTTTCTTTGTGGCTGAATGGTCCAAAACCTAAGTTCACATGGGTGTGAATGCGGCTGCTTAGAATAGTTTAGCTTTGTCACTGCTATTCATTGCAAGCGTTTCCGTTTTGCATTGTTGAGGCTTGCAGCTGCCGTATTTCCATACGCTCTGATTTTTTTTCGGGCTGGAGACTACTTTTTCACCCTCAGATGTTTACACCCTTTTTTCATCCGCCTGTTTTCCATCCTAATACATTCCGCCTCGTTACTAGAAGACCAATGGATTACGCCACCTGTCTGTCTGACATGCCAACTCCAACGGAAGCTTGCTCAAATGCATTTTTTAGTTGTGTGCAGGCCCGCTGCCTAATTTTGGCCGTTTTCATATCCTATGGTGCTAATTCCGATTAGTAAAATGTAGGTTTGGGCCTCTACTGCGACGGAATCGTCATAATTGCATCCCATACCAGAAGTGTGCTAACCGATTATGGTTTATAAGAACTTATTTCGCTGGACCCCCAACCTTTCGCTTGCGTTTGTTGCTGTTTGTCATTCCTTTATATTTATTCTAAAACTGCTGTAATTTCCGTGATAACTTTTTTTGTTGGCTGAAAAACGAAGGGGTCATTTTGAATGAATGTCAGTTGTGCAATGCCGTTAGGTGTGGTTCACAGCATTTTGCTTGTCTACCTACCTGCTAAAAACAATAACGGGCCTCACTTATGCTGCTAGAAACTCTCGATGACAGTTCCTGTTTTTACGAGAAGTTTTCAAATTTACTGGGTTACCCAAGTCCTGCAGAACCGCTTCTCTCCATGGGACGATTTTGGAAACGGGAAGATTTCAACTTTGATCCCCTCGAAGAGTCTCGATCTCCAACCGAATTGGAGATTCTTTTCGGTTTCTTGACTTAGTTGATTAACTCTTGAAGTGGAAGTACCACGTTGGAAATACTTTTGGAATGAGTCGTTTCGGATATCAGGTTGAAGGATGCTTGTCGTATCTATTATTTATGCCTTGTCCCTTACAATGGCAAGGTCGGTGATTTACCAGTTTTTTTCGTTTTTGTCACGGAATACTGATTGTTGATCAGTTGTTCGGCTTCTGCTTCATATTTGAACGGCACAAATTTCCCTTTTTAGTACTGGCTTAGATGACAGTGGTTGTCACCCACTCAATACGTCCACCATATTGCCCGTCGTAATCAGTGATATGCACGTGTATCTGAAGCATACACTGCGTGGCACTGTTCAAATTAGTCATTTCCTGAATGTCTTTCCTCGAAGGCGGTTGTTTAGGATTGTTCCCCACTGCTGTTTTCTCTCACGGTTGCTTACTATTGACTACGTGAGATAACAGCGATTTCATTTTGGGGACGAACGAACCAAGAGGTAAACGGTAATGAACATACTTGTAGTCAAGAATACGACTATCCAAACGTTTGACCTCCAGCTACACAACGTAACGGGACCGCGCCTTGGGTTCATGCATTAAAACAAGTTTTCCGGTACCCATGGTTTATCCAGTCTTCAGCCTGGAACTGTCTTGTATTTAGCGGTCGGTTTTTCTAAAGTCAGCATCTACTGGAGACACCAACACAGATCACAACATAATCTTCGCCAAGTAGAAGTTGCAAGTGTCAGAAAGACGATATACTGCGGATTTCTGTAAGACTTACCCAACCTATTTAATAACATCAATAGACACATGATCGGATCACAAGCTCAATGTGCCCAATGTCCATATCGAATGTGAATTTCTGACCTAAATGGGGTAACTAGTCCTAAAACTCACTGAGTAAATCCCAACCAGTATAAAGCTTGGTAGGTTGCTATCCCACGATTGATCGCATCCGCCCTCTAATTATCATCGGTGGGAAGCTCCCTGCCCACAAATTCATAATTAGCAGGTCCTCCATGATTATTATCACAATTTGCAAACAGTTCTGTGGGTATACACAGGCAGCCAGATTTATAACGAATTTCGGTGCTTTGGCTTACGTTCTTTGGTCGAGATGTCCCGGTATCATACCTTGCAACACGAGCTTTACGTGCCCTTCTGCGAATGACACCCTAACTAGACTCCGGCCATTTCATAGCATGCAAGAGGTGCACATAAAATCGATCTTAATCTGAATTATTGCTTACTTGCCTTCCTCTTTCATGTGTAATGAAGTTATCATTTAGTTGTGTCCGGATATCCTACGCTAAACAACTGTCACATGATGGTAGCTATTCTCATCAGGATTCCTGGCTTGATGCTATTCGTTGATGTGTAATGGTTAGCCCAGCAGTTACGGAACAGTAGCAGTACGTTCCTGTCCTGAAATCCGGGGCCGCTGTTTGACTGTTTATCAGGTTTTGAACCGTTTGGGAAGTATTGATGCCTTAACTAGTCTAGTCTATCTCAGGTTTTTCAGGATTATCATGTGGCCCCTGAGGCGTGGGTCTTTTCTTCATTTACTACGAATGATTGGTTTCATGTTCTTATTTCGAGAAATGGAATCTTTCTTCTTGGAACAAAATAGTAAACTCTAAGGAATTCTGTAGAAGCCTAATAGGCACGAAACTTTGGAGAGTTGTTTGTCTTCTGAGGAAATAATTTGGTGGACCGCTGTGTTCTGTCACAACAAGTTCAGATCACTGTCTGCGGCTTTACCGATCATGGGGAGTCACTTGGCAGATAGAACCTTTTACTGGTGAATCTGCTGTCAATCCATGCATTAACTCATATTTACCAGTTGCTGCACTTAGATGTCTTACTCGGTCGCGACTGCACTGTGGTCATACACCGCTTCGACAGGTGAGCTACATCAGGTGAAGGTAGCTGAGGTTCCCAAATTTTCGTTAACAGCACACGGCAAGCAGGCGAAGATGGCTTAGGCCAATTCCATATACACACGGGATTTATTGTGTTCAGTGATACATACTTCCTGCACCCCATTCTATACAGTGCAGTGATAGTGCAACCAAACGGTGCCCTGGTTTTGACCTTGGGAACTCACCGCAAATCTCGTGAAATGTATCCTAAAAGGATATCTTTTGAGTAGATCCATCCTGTCATAGATGTGTACGAAGATATTGGCCATTTAATGTTGCCTCGATGCGAACCGATAATAAGTAATAGAACGCACGCAATCGTAGGTAATCGTTTTCTGATCTTTCTAATGTGCAATATGAGACACCAGGTATTTCGATTCTCGGTTGCCGTGATGGTCATTTTTGTGTGGGTTGTAGTAGAATGGCGTTTTGTCACTTTTCGAGCGTAACATCAGATCTTGCTGAAAAGCTACACGGAGAAACATAACTCTTTTGGTCTGATTCTCAACCGAGACAATGTAACGACGCGCGTAATGCTGTTATGGTCACGGATCATTTTTACTTGTCTTCATTTCTCTCTCACCTTAGGATCCTTAGATTTGCAGTGAGTTGATTGAAGCAGTTACTGAATATATACGAACGACTGATACTTGGTTCACGAACCTTTAGAAGTATCATGTAACATGCATTCTGTGGTTTTAATTGGAACGTTATTACGCCCAAAGTAAACCATTTCGATGTCATGGACGGAATGCCTTCCAGAGGGTTTTGCACAGCAAAAGATTTACTTCAAGCAATTAACTTCATATCATATCCGTAACTGGTGGTCACCAGCGACATAGGCTCTTGTGATCAGTCAAGTGCTAAATTAATGAAATAATAGTTGCAACACACTACTCATAAGGTTGCTGAAAAGGCCTCGACATCTCATTACCGGTTTCGCCCTTTTTGAGGTTCATCAGGGTTTCCATCAACCTTATGTTATACGTGAACCCAAATTGTGCAGATTCTGTCAAAGTTGTCAAAAAATAACTGTTGTTCAGCTGTAACGCTCTGTGCATAGCTGGCATGCCACCCGAAGCAAATACGAGGGCTAAGATACTGTCAGATTGCCCAAGCCTAGAAAGGAGCGGTCGAGATGCCGAGGTCGGGTTGTAACCACGGACTTTCCGACCAGTACGTCTGCACTCTAACCACGGAGCCATCTCGAGCTAGAGGATCGTGTGTGATTGTTTTGTTGAAGCGTTAACTTGACCATCAGACATCTTGATGAATTATTAGAATCGGCATTAGACAGTTCACTACCAAACACAACACACAAAAACTTTAGGTAATACGATTTCTGCTCACATGATAGGAAGTTGTTTGGGAATGTCAAGTGCTATGGAGAGATAGATGTCCTGGAAAGCAGAGAATACTACTAAGGATCGCATCTAATGCGTTGAACCTGAAAAGCGCTCAAAATCCTAATCGATGGAGCTCAACGACTACGCTTTCTCGTCTTTCGTTTACGTTGCGCGGGTTAGTACAAGGATAGTTCAAGGAAGAGAATATCAAATCATTCGGAAACTCGAACAGTGAAGTGTTATATTCGTTGATAAGGAAAAGTTCAAACAGGGCGGTCCACTGTCCTTGCCACTAGCACAACCTCGAAATAAACAAAAAGTTTTTCAGTGGCGACTCTGTGGTAATTTAGGAAGCATTGTTTGTCAAAGGACAGGGAGTAGACGGGTTATCCCTACGTAGTGGTTCTTTATAGTTCTCTCCTTTCAATCATTGCTGTTAGCTGCAGCGAGGTTTTGTCCATACTGCAACTCACCAATGAATACCACATGTCAGAAATATAATTATTCATCGCATTATATTGTTATTGTCCACTGTCCAGGGGAGTTGACTGTCTTTGAATGGTCGTACTGAGGTCCCTCTACTCTGTGTGCGTTTCAGAAAACTTTTGACTATTAGTTTCACTGATTTCCTTGTTCTCCGTCGCAGCGTTTACGTATGGGATGTCACCGATTTGTCAGATGTGAAACGGGCTGCTGCCTACTTTTACCATAGTCGAGGTGTGTGGTCGGTGGATTGTTTGTCTGAATCATGTCAGCGAACCGGAAAGGAGCGTATACCGCAGTTCAACAGCAAGTCGGTCGGTCCAAGCTCTCCACCAACCTGGTGGTCTGACTCCACCTTTGTCACATGTGCAGACGATGGGACAATCCGGTTTTGGAACGTTACGGACGAACTGGAACAAAATGATTCTGACATGACCACGAGTCTGATTGGGGAAGCGGATCTGGTCAAGTCCGGTGTCCCGAGAGCAAAAGAAGTAAGCCTTTATCCAGTGTTGCCACCTGTTACTCATGGAATTTAGAGATGCCATTCGATTGTAGAGTATGTTCTCGTCCTGTTGATAGTCCTTATTAGGTTTTTCATGACGACATGGGATTCAGCGCTGTCAATTATTCTTTAAACGTGCACAATGTCTTTTAACTCCTTTAGTAACTTGAGATTTTCACTCGATAAGTGCTAAAAACAATAATACGCAAGTAAATTTTGTTCGAACCTGAACATTCCGGTGACTTAGAGGACATCTTTAGGATGGATTTCGTTCTTTTGCATCATCAGGTCGTCAGATGCGTTGTATCCCCCTGAATCGCGCAATTTTATTTTGGCTGTTATTCTCAAGTACATTTTCGTCTAATCCTCATTCAATCGCTGCCGATTGTTGTGGCAAAATCGAATATTCTGTTAGTCACTGTGCTTCATCTAATGTCTCTCGTCTACCTGCTGGTCCTGCCGTATAAATTCAGTCGTCGCGCCGAGGATTTCCTTTGTTTCCACCGTTAATAGGATTCAATTCCGTTTTTCTTCACGTTTCAGCGACTTATGCGAATCATCTTCACTGATCCGACTCACAAGTTACTATGCGTCAGTGATCGTCCAACAGGTAAGACGTAGGTTGCTAATGATCAATTAAGTTCAGTTCAGCTGTCCGCAGTCCATTTATTATTACCGAGTCTCGAACTGTTTTTTGCTCGTCCCTTGTGTTTCAGCCGAATTGACCTTTGCTAAATTCGAAGGTAAATTCATTGGTATCTGGTTCCATATGCATATTTTGTCCTGTCGTCGACAATCTACATATGGCATCTTGTAGCATGGCCCTCACGCGTTTGTTCGCCGCGCCGTTACAATCTGCATTCACATGATTATAGTAGTTCTTATTGTCAAAGCCTCTTCTTGATGTCTGGTTTCATATATTTTTCATCTTCGGATGGCTTACCCTATGTAAGCTACGTCGTACTGTCCTGCTCGTGACCTATGACCTCGGTTTGCATTCAGTAATGAGTAAAAATTGACGCATGATACATCACGATTTGTTTTCCGCTTTGTCTTATATCTCCCGGTTGCATTTGTTCGAGGGCTCAACTATACTACTGTTGGCTGCGGACAAAGGACTTTGGTCATTCTGCACTCTGTTTAGTTGCACTATCTAATCTTGCACGTTGGATCATGTGGAAGAAAACGTATGGAAAATGCGTTTTGAGTTCTGTCAACTCCACATCACCGGCCTGTCTCTCCCAAGTTAAATTTCAGATGTCAATGTGGAAGATCTTTGTCATATTCTTGTATTTTTCCATTTTTAGCTTCATGTTTCTCATATTTGTGAAATGGATACGATCCAGCGTGGTTGATTGAATATTGCCAATTTGGTTTGAGCTCATCAGCGTTTGTGAAGTTGTGATTGACATTTTTAGCTGGATTTGATGGCCTTGTCCTCTTATAGCTGGGGTTCAACTATGTCATCCTATCCCAGTTTCGCAGCGTCGCCACTGACATTTGGATTCATTGTCCCCCTGTATACCTTTGGTATCGTTGTTTGACGTTGCTTTTGAGCAATATCTCCATATTGTTGTGGCATACGTCAGTCAACACGCTTCTGAAGCGTTCGGTAGTTCGTCTGATGGTTAACATTTTCACTGCGGAACAACCGATTCTCGATGTTGCACTTATCTCTGATTCGATTTGTTCGCGGAGCATCGGACGCTTGCATATACTGCCTCCCTGAATGACTTTTTGGTGATTGCCCATACGTAGCCAAGTATTTCAAGAACTATCCTCGTCTATCTGATCAGCGGTCCTACTTTCAGCCATCCACGTCTCAATTCGTTGTGAGCATCTTGGCGATGACGCTACTGTAAGAGTTCAGCGAAATCCTTCATTCTTGTCCCATATTTCCCTGCATATTACATTCCCACTGACACAGATAAACCGGCGTTTTCCGATTCTGACGCATCCGATAGCTACATTTCAATCACTTGAGTTCTCCATTAAATGAATAGACTCTGCTGCCTATCGTCTCCCTCCCGCATTTTGCCTCATGGTGTTCTAATGGATTTTGTTTTCTTGCTCAGCTGGCGTTGGTCCCATCGGCGGCCCTTCCCCGTCTTCATCCTTAGGAGGACAACTTGACTCAGCTGCGCCTTCACCGTCTTCACCTACTGCTCCGTCACTTAGCGAAGCCTCGCTTGTTAACCGGTCGAACTGTACTCTGATTCCCAGTGGTTGTTGTGTCCGTGCGGTTTGCATCAGCCCTGACTGCCGACATCTAGCCGCTGGGGACCGCGACGGGATTCTTCGGTATGTTCTGTGAATATCTTTCTTCCCCTATCTAATCTGTCTCAATCTGCTCAAGGAGTGACGCATATCAATGCAAGACTGTCGTAATTTTGATTCTTTGATTGGCACAACCCGATTTCTCATCCTCCATGTCACTACTGTCCTTTATCTTATTACTATTGCCGAATGCACCTTTGGCTTTTTCAGTATCTACTCGCTTGCAAATCTGGAGCAACAGTGTCAGATTACCGCACACGACAGTGAAATCTTATCACTCAATTTCTTCCGCTCCGATAGTGGTGAGTCGCCGTTCAATACAACATGTAGTCAATATTTTGTGTGCGAATGTGACACCAAATGAATGCGCTTAATGTAACCCTTTGTTTACCGTGTCTATGTAGATGAATAACTGACGCAAGGTTCTTCAGGGTTTGTTTGCTCATTTTTTTCGTCGTGAGACTATGCACTATGTAAGTTTCACCTATTCACGAGGTGATTCTTTGGTTTACCTTGGTCAATAATTCTTGACGTAGGCATTTTTAATACAGTTTCCTTCCTTGGGGACAATTATTCTGAGGATGGATCTCGAAACGTTTCTTCGTGAGCGGATTGAAAAACATAACTTTTCTGCATCGCGTGATGGAATTCCAGCTGTATTTGGGTGTTTTAACCATTGTTTCTGATTATGGTGCAGTATTTCTTTGCAATACTAGTTACTGAGTATCTTTGTTTGATCCGACCACTTTGTACATTACACTGGCGTGGTAACGCCAGTGGTATGTTCTCAGACTGCAGTAGGAGCTGTTCGCCGCCTGGTATCGCTCTTGCATAGTTTGCTGTTCATCAGCACCTTTAGTCTTTATCCCATCCAGCAAAACTCCAATAAGAATTCACCACGTGACCGCGTTATTGTAGGAAAACAATCGCATTTGCTGAAAAGTCGATAGTCGCCGAACAGCCCTATTTTTCAGCAACGTTCAGGTCTACTCACCTTACTGAATTATGTGCGGTGTGCGCAAATGCTCGGCAGAGCTGTCTGCCAAGCCAATACTAGCCCAGTCAAACCACGAAATTCTAAATGCTTATGCCAACTTCCTTATATTGACAACTAAATCGTGAATCTTTGCGAATGACTTAATTGCTTTCAGCAGTGAGGGGGGCCACGGTGAGCTACGCTCATTACCCAAAAAGTCGAATCGTTGAAATGTAGATTTATCAGCAACTGAGGCATTGTGAATACAATACTAAAACGACACAGTGGCACAAATTTCAGATCGTTGGGTTATGCTGATTGTATACTCGGATTCTGAATGGGACCCTGTAGAAACAAAATAGGTGGCGAACAATGCGTCTACTAAAAGTTCGCAATGAGCAAAAACAAGTTGGACACAAGTGACGAAGCCCGTATGCTGAAATAGGTGTGTCTCACTAAGATCAAAGAGCAGCTAAATTTCAGGTTGGAAACAATTGAGGGGAATAGGAGCAACAAAACGAGGAATCCCGCTACACCTAATAGGAATAGAAAAAAGCCAACAGTGGCGGAGTGTACGTTTTTTCGGGAGTAAGCCATACACTGGCCCTTGTTTGGTTATGGACGTTTCTTTTCTCGGAAATAGCTTTCCTTGGCGCAAATTCTCTACCACTGAGAGGGTATCTCCTGCCGAATTATTTCCCCATGATTGTACAAATGTATCTCGCAGAAGCCGAGTGCTGTCCTCCTTTCCCGTTCCCGGAAAACTTACGCGATTTTACTAAATTGTATTTTCCTAGACAGGATTTCAATTGCAACTCCATTGTTTAGCCGACTATTCTGTCGGCACTGGCCTAGACGATTTTATACTGCCTATGGCAGAACTAATTTATATATCTGCTGATCACCCCGTGCAGTGCCGGAGCTGACTCTGTTATGCTCGGCTTCACGTGACCGACTCATCCATATATTTGACCCGAACCAAGAATACTCCCTTGTGCAAACGGTAGCTGATCATTCAGCTGCCATTTTCGCCGCAAGAATCATCGAGACAGAGGATGATGGTGAGATACGTCTAATCTCGTGTGGAATGGACAAATCCTTACTCATTAGAGTCCTTGAGGTGAGCGTTCATTGTTGTACGCATTTTGAAACTGTTGCTACCGCAATTTTAACGTTGAACACCTCGGTAGGTTGTTGGTTAGCCAACGCGGTTACTTTTCCGTTCATCTTATATGTTTTATGTGACAACGTCACCTTTTGTTAGCCTCCCAGGTCTCACCGCATTTGTGTGGCAAGCTTCTGGGTGTTCCAGATAATGGCCTGATGACTAAACATGAAAGTCCTGATTAGCGAACCTAGTTACGTTGACAGTTGAAACTTCCATTGGTAGGCACTTCCGCACCGCACACGTCGGGGACACCGTCAGGTACAAGCTACTCGCGCACTCTGTCGTCTTCAATCCATAGCGTATCCATTCTTGTCATCAGTTTATATTTTCAATAGTGTGAATCTGAAGAGAGAAAATTATGCTCGGTGAATTGTTCAACTGTTTGTTCCTCCTTATGTTCGTCTCCGGGATGTCTTAAATAATAAAATAATGGTTCAACTGTGACACTTTTGGTGTCAAACTGCCATGTCACCCGAAGAAAGCACGAGGGCTGAGACACCGCTAGGTCGCCCAAGCCTAGACAGAACCAATCCAGATTCAGAGGCCGGGTTCCGGTCAGTAATTTCGCGCCTTAACCATTTATCCAGCTCAAGCTTGGAAGTCCTACTTCGTAGCAATTTTCCCATCGTCTGTAACTCTGCCATTTTCGCTGATAAACAAAACTGACATTGGAGACCACTTCACATCAATTTCTTGACAATGAAACCCTGCGAAAAGGGGACACTTGCCTGGATTGTTTATCACAGATTTCCCTGTCAGTCACCATCCGTTTCCCAAAAAGTGAGGATGTATATCCACAAGAGGCCAAATCCTCTCTCCCATGTGGTGCCCTTTCTTGATAATGGATTGCTATGATTGGTTCATACTAGATGGTGATGCAGGATGGACTTCTTTGCACTGCCTTCCAAACTACCGGATTCTCGGTCTGTTAGACGTTAAAACCTAAATCTTCCTGTTAGGTGGAGTTAGTCTGTTTGAGTTACACATCCCCGAGAACAGTCGTCTTGGGATTTCCGGGAGTGAGTATGGAAGTACAGAAAACCCAGTTGGCTTTTGTATTCTGTGCACCCTCTCCACACTTCAAATTGAGTTACCTTAGCGTTTCAGCTCTTAGGGCCATTGAACATTTGTGGTTGTCCCCAGGCTCCAATGGTGCTAAATAAATTCTACCTCACGTTTTCGCGCCGGTTTTCCAGTTCATCGCCCCACGTTACATTTTCCAGTAGTTACCTGGACAGAATGCTTGTTATAACTTTTAGACATGTTTGTACACACCTCATGTTCAGTGTTTTTGCCTTCTGCTCCTCTCGCAGCCGGATGAAGCTGGTTTGACGGCGCACTTCGCCCTGGAACACCATCTGGTGGGACGCTGTTCTCAGCTCGATGCTGCATTCACTCCAACCGTTACGACCTATACCTCCGATAACAAACCCGGCAAACGCAAACGTTATTTGGCCGTGGCGTGTCAAGATCGTCGTTTGCGTATTTACAACATTGCGACTGGCCGCCAGATTCGATGTTACCGTGGCAGTTTCAACGAAGACGGTTGCCTGGTGCGATGTGCCATTGATCCCACTGGCTCTGTTGTGGCCACTTCAGGTGGGTTTTCATTCGATTTAATCACTGATTATTACGATTGATGTTCCTTTCGCTTTAAATGTCTATCTTTTGTCAGCCATAAGTGCGAGTTTCTGGTGATATGGGCTGTTGGTTCCATTATGCTTAGGAACTTGAAATTCCTACTTATTCATCAGTAGTTTCACGTAGTTTTCACACACTTGTTATATGCCAATTGCAGTGGCTCTCGTAGAATGCCCTGTTTATGGAAAACTGTACCCGAATACTTACACCTTTTGCTTTTGGTATGGGTATCCTCAACCTGGACGATTCTTAGGAACAAGTACAAATGTTGTAGCATATCCCCTAGTTCTGCTTCCTAACGGCCCTTCATTCTCTTACATACATCTGAGCAAACTTCAGCGAGCTAGTTCGGGACTGAGGACCCATGTTCCTTGCGACAGTCGCGAGATAAACCATTGTTACTATTTGGAAATGGTTTGATTTTTCATGACCCAATTGCTTAGTGGTTGAGTCTCTTTACCGTTGAAAGGAAGAAAGCCTTCGTTGCGGAGTTATTTATTAGAAAACGCCAAGTGAACAGTTACAGACTATTGGCCAGGGAAGCAAAACTCTCATATGCATATCGTCTACAGAAGCCGAATATCCATCTTCTCCTTGAACGTGTCTTCCTGAACTTTTCTGGATATTCTTGACTGCTGTTCAAATGCAAGGAAATGCGACTCCACAAAATCCGTAATAGATATCACTTTTCAAGGGACACGATGCGGATTTATGGGAAACCATATCACTCGCATGCCTCCATCAGTAGTACCCACCGTTACATCGGTATTTCCCGGAATTACCCGGAAGCATCATGGTTTCCTTCGCCTACGGTAGTTTTGGATGCACTTTCCCTGAGGCTTCCGTTTGTCAGCTGTCTTATTAAATAAGAGCAATCGATGAGTATCAATATCCAATCAGGTTATAGCTCAATGCTTATCTTTACAAGCTATATAGGCGCAAGCACGAGGAGAGGAACTGCCCATCCGACAGCGTCCTATAGATGTCTTTCGAATGGTGACGAAATCTCTGCAAGTCAGTTACCTAGCCGGGTGAATAGTTCAACAGCCACTTGATCAAGTACCGATAAATTGGAACTAAAGGGGCTACTGTCTACTTCAGAAACTTTGCACTTTTGATTTGACGATACTCCTCACTTCTACAAGATTTCTGTCAACAGCGAACCCGTTGAGGTTCCTAACCCGTTAGAGCTACCTAGTCCGGCAGGTGCACGAAACCTGTTTATAATATACAAGATGTAAACGAGTGATGCGTACTTTTCATAGAAGGTTAGAATATATAGAATTATTGTGCGTTTCAAACGTTTGTTTCGTCTAATCAATGAATTGTCTCATTTTAGGACACACTAAGCTTCTTACTAATCAGATTGGCTCCTCTTTACTGGGGGAATCGGCTACCGTTATGTTGAATGATATTCAATCTAGACGCTGTTCATTCCAGTCCTCATTGTCAACTGGCTAACGGTACTGAGTCAGTTTGTGAATAATCCTCATTATAGTGTCGTCAGGAGCGCACGCCGGATGTCAGATCATTCAGGAACACGCACAGTAATAAGAGCAGATGAGAACCTGATGTCGTTCTGTGAATCCTTACAAAGCGGTAGGGGAGGTAGAATTATTGATCTAATAGTTTATCTGGCTTGGCCAACCACCCCTCCTTCACTACACTGTGATCTTGACTTCCGCCTTTTCCTTAGCACATTGGATTAGGCGCAGGTCGTTAGTTGATGTCGTTTGTCAGTCTGCCTCTGTTTTTTGTTACCCCTTACTGGATAGTATGCAGAGCTGTGCGGAAAAGCGAAGTGAAACTGTTTGCTCATCTTAGATATTAGTGACCTTTATGCTTCCAGTTTCTGTGCAGTTTTAGATTGTACGAACATCAGGCTGCTTGAAAGAAGCTAGCGTCAAGTCCATTCTCTTCTTCTTTTTCTTCTCGTCTTTTTATATTGTTGTACGACGGCAAAATATTGGTGTCAGTGTTGGTACTATCTTCCACCACTACTGGCAGACAGGCATTTTCCGATGCATTCATCCCCCTTATCAAATCAACAACCATCCTCGAGGAACGCTTAACGTAGCCCCTTGGAGTGGTCTTTGTATGTAGGGACAGATTTCCCTACGAGCCGGTCATTTGCGTTGTTTTATTTCTTATGGACTTCAGTCCGTGGTGACTCACTTACCTAGTTTGCCGTAACTAGATAAGTACGGTTTCGTTGTCGCTAACTTATGGATTGATGATACTGGCCCCTGCGCACTGCTAATGTCAGTTTGTAGTATTCCTTGCGTTGCAGTTTGCGAACCCACATGTTTAGCCAATTCAACCACAAGTGTAAGAACTCGGCCGTAGAAGTGAATTAACAAGTCGACTTATGTAGTTCTTCTGCTTCAGCTGCTGGTCAGGTCCTTTATCCGTAATGTGGATATTTAACCGAGTCGAGATATCAGCAACAGATAGTTTTTTCACGCGCCCGCCCGACTGAACTGCACGCTGTTTTCTGCTGAAAGGGAAAGCGGGACTTACTGCAAGTTACAGGATAAAAGCACTCCCATTCACAGACCACGCATACTCTGCTTACCTTACTCCAAATACGGTAATTACTCACCAGCATAAGTCTTGTTTGACGAATGATACATCAATGGGATGGGAGAATCCGCACTTCTTCATCTGTGCTCTTCCAACCGGATATTTCTTTCCAAAACGGATTCACTGCAACGAAACCCAGATACAGTGCAATGCGAAAGTCGAAGCAACTCGGCTTCCACAGTGCCAGAACAACTGAACGACAGCTGTTCTCTTCTTGACAATTGGTCAGTGTTGCCTTGGTGTAACGGTGGACTGATGGGGCATGCGATTAGCATGTTTTCTCGTAAATCCGCTTCGCGCCTCTTGAAAAGTGAGATCTATTACGGAATTTGTGGATTCGCTTTGTGGCATTTGCTTGCATTTGAGTAGCGGTCAATGAATATTCAGAAAAGTTCAGGAAGACGCTTTCAAGGATGCATATGAGAATTTTGCTTCCCTGTCCAATAGTCTAACTGTTCAGTGTTTCCTAATAAACAACTCCGCAGCGAAGGCCTTCCTTCTTTCATTGGTAGCAAGCACCGTGGCAAAAGCTGAAAGCTTTGCATGATGCAAATTGCGGGGCGCTCATTGTTGCAGGTTTGCCATAAGGGCGAAAACACAAGTCTCTGGGTGGTTTGTTGATTTGAAGAGGTTTGGGAATTTCCGTCAAGCAAGCCCAGATTCAATCAGCATTTGAATTGCCTGAATCTCATACCTTGTCCTCATCATACCACCTTCTACCACACTTAACTCAACGCTTAAGGAGGAAGTTTCTAGTTCGAACCGAGGGGACAAAACATTTGCAAGTCAATTACCATTCTCGTCGAACAGATAAACGGCTAATTGATCAACCACCGATAAACGCAACCGAGATACAAATATCCAGGCGCATTCCTGACAGCATACGTGCTGGTTGCCAGCACCATCAAGGAGGGCGTACTGGAAGAAGCACCTTTATTGTTTTCTGAGAAAGCCAACTGACTACAAAATTTTGGTTTTCCGTCACCAATAATTGCGCAAACAAAGCAGACAAAACACTGTAACTGTTAGAAACCCTGTTAGGCAAAACACTGTAACTGTTAGAAACCCTGTTGGCGTTCGATGAAATACACGGATGTGTCGGCTGCCTCAACCTCTGTAGTATTTGTCGATGAGGTCAATTCAGAAATAAGCACGACACGAAAAGACTTCAATAAAACATGTCCAGAAAAGTTTGTCAGACTGTCGTCATCATCTTTATTTACGGCTTTATGTTTGTTCACGTTTCTTTGCGGTCTGTCAAGGTGTACCGTCTCGACGACGTCACTCATGTTTTCCATCAACATTTTCACATCAGCTTTCATCAGTAACATGTATCACGTTCATTAGTGGGCACCGCCGAGACACAAATAAAACTATCAACCATTTACTTATGCCTGGATGCTGAGAGTTGTTCTTTTAACGGTCTATTGCTGGAGGATTCTGGATCACGAGATTTTCCCTACCAAGTGGAGGCTTCTTGTAAAGAAAAGATTGGAATGGTCTAAACCTCTCCTTTCTTCGAGATCTTGCTTAGATTGAGGTTTCTCACGTAGTCGAAGTACTTTGTTTTGCTTGCTCTTATTCCGTTGCCTCCAATCTGGCATCACTCAACAACCGTGTCCTGCAATAGATACACTCGTTATGAGTGAAGAAACGAGGTGCAGCGCAACTCGGCCACACCTGTATGTATTTACTTAGTCGATCTGAATAGCACAAACAACGAGAATGGCGGCCTGAGCCTTGGCCTACGCGAAAGAACCTCTTTGCTGTTCAGTTAAACATGAAAGAGGTGAAAGTGATTGTCGGTATTTCCTGAGTTCTTCATTCATCATATCGCCCGACCTTCCGACATTTCATGAAACAAAGACAAATGCTAATTATCGTCTATAAATTGGCTCATATCCACTCGGATTTTTGCAGTCTGCTTGTGGTTTATCAATTAAGTACAGGCTTCTAGTGGTTCTGCCGTTGTTGATCGGCGGATCTATCCCTGATGCTGGTCTGTCGTATCCACTGAAAACGTCTTCTTCTGTGAATACAGAAACCTGTAGAGATGCACGACCCCTCATCTTCTGTTTTGATTGTTCACTCTTTCTTATGGTCTAAGCAGTTCTGTTCTGTACTCAACCTCCATACTTAGTTTGTATCAATAGTCAGATTGTCGTTCGAAAATGGGAGCTGTCGCTCATGTGAATGCGGATGAATCTATGTTCACATACAACAAACGCTTAGGTTTCTGGCGTCACCGGTACACTTCGTATATTTCACTGGCGGTCACAGCAAAAGCCGATTAGTTGTTTATTACCAGTCCCCTCAACACTTTATGTGCTTTTGATTGTTCTCGATTCCTCTGTGGAACGGTACACATAAGGTACACAAGGTGCGGCTTACGAAAATCTCCACTGTGGACACAGATTTTCAAGATATCTCTGTTGTCACTATCTGATCTCCGGTGGACTATTGTTTTTGTTACACCAGGTTCCGACAAGCAGTTGAATCTGTTCTACTTGCTTTCGGGTGAATCCATCGCCCCACTCTTTGGTCATTCCGAACTGGCTCTTGGCCTTCGTTTCCTTCCCGATCTTCGTCATTTGGTCACAGTGAGTGCGGACAGTTGCGTATTTATCTGGCGGCTGGCTACCGACTTGACACAACACTTAAGCGACCGCTCTGCCGTGACTAGGCGAACTAGCTCATGTTCAGGTTTGTCCACGACCTCAACTGTACCAAGTGGTCTACGTTCGACGGCATCATTTCGCCTACCAAGACCCCGTTTTGCTAAAGAAGAAAGATCGGGAGGAGAAGACTCTATCAGTCTTTCGTTCAATCCAAGCTGGGGTGACTCGCCCACGGAGTACGATCAGACTGACGAACCGGACGAAGACAGTGAAGTCGATCTGCTCAAATTGGACACTGACGAGTTGCTTCCGCGCGACTCTTGTCTTCTTGCTCGTATTGGACGTCCGGCCGATGTACCCGATTCCAGGTACTGGGTAATGATTCATTTGTCCAGTTCCGGATCATTTGTACAAAAGGGCTGTCTAGTTGTTCAGACTTTTTTCATGTAAATATGGTGTAGCTATTCTTAGCGTTTCTATTCCAGCCTATGTAGCGGTTCGTGAATTGTGTGTGCGCTCTTGTCACGCCAAGGTTTGTCACGGTTAAACAAAAGATTTGGGGCCAAAACGCTTTCTCTATCCAAAGTTTCGATCCTGTTGCAGATCACAGTTCGATTTTGGGAAGCCTTCAGTTTGACAGTTTATTCTCTCTTTTGGATCCACCGGTTTTCCTAATGGTTTCACCGTCATCGCTGACAACATCACCTGTGTTGATTACTAGTTGATTAGGTTACTATCAAGTTACCTATACTTGAAGAGAAAGGGTTTGGTTTCAGTTGGGGTTTTGCGAGATCAGATGCATTCGGCTCAACAAATGGAACGAAATGCAGCGAGAAAAAAATCATAACATTTCTATTTTTGAGGAACAACTTGCTAGAGATTGTTCAACCAATACACCGAAGACTCATCGCAGACCACAGATTGACCTGATTTGAGAGGTTCTGTCGGCACTCTTTGGACATCCCCTAAAATCAGCTGAGTGAGGTATAATGTGCTGACAACCGTTTCCGGATTGACCTGTCATATCGAACTACTCCAACGAAACCACGAGCACAAAAGCTAATGTCAAATCCAGTTTAAGCTGGACTGCGTTTGCAGTCAAGTGAGTTTCCTCTATAGGGGCCGCCATTTTACCCAACTGCTGGCTCATATTTATCAACTCATCTGGACAATTGAGCTCCACAGCACGTGCAAATGAGCATCTGCTGACCCGCAAACCATGAACCCAAAATATACTCGTATGGTGTAGTTAGCTGTGGCGTGAATTGATTCCGTGCACGCAGCGCTACTTAATGGAAGCCGCATGTAGCACCGTCGCAGGCTCAACTGTCCGATAACCACAGAAGACCTAGAAGGATCTGGTAAACTTATTTTATTCACTGACATCACGCCGACAGATCAGTGGTGTACTGTGACCAGCGCAAACAGGACCGCAGCTTGTCCCTTTTCCTGGTCCAAAAAAGTCTTGAACGCTACAGCTCTCTGGCTCGAAGTTGACGGTTGCGGAATTCGCGAACTGCAGCCGGTATCATTTCTCCTAATAGTACCTTTCTTGTGCTTGCGCTTCCCATTTCACGAGTTCGGCTTTCGAAATTTCTACTCGTTTGTGGTAGCGCTGGCTACAGTAGCTGCTTCGGAATCATGTTGCTGTGCATTCGGCAAGCATTGCCCAGTTGCCTTAGACGGTCAGGTGTGGCCGTCTTCTGCATTGTCACAATGCACTCGTTGGAGAACCTCCGTGTCCAACACTACACATTCCGTAAGCACCAAGTGCATTTGACAGCTGCTCAAGTGTTGGATGTTGCGCCGGCACATGGTGTCTTACATGAGGACATATAGGACCATCAGTTCGTGGGTCTGTAGCTTGGTTTTCATTCGGAGCCTCCTACGCACCTATTTCTTGAATTTACCGAAATTCACACTAGCTTTAGCAACACATTTGACGACATAATGTGGAGCTTAGTTTGATAGACCAAACATCCGGCACCAAATGCCTTATATTGAAAAGTTGCCCAGCAAACTGATACTCAGCCTGGACGCTAGCATCGTCCTTCACAAAGCCGAATCCACAGTATTCGTTGGACTGAAGACAGCAGAACATGGAGGCATTCCTGGTTCTTGCCAGTGAGAATTTCACAATTAATTGAAGTCGGTTCACCTTCACTGTTATTCCGGCGTGGATGCTTCGGGTGAGATTGATTTGTCCTGGCGACCAACCCTTTTTGGGAGCAACCGCCTATAGTGCCTCTCAGTTGACAGAGTCGAGGGCCTCAGTGAAATCTGTGAAGAAGATTTGGAGCGGCGGACAATGTTCGTGGGAGTTTTGTCGAAGCCTTTGTGCAGTAAGGCCGGTCTATTTTGCTGCATCTAACAAAGAAACCATATTGTTCTGGGATGTATGCTTTGGTCACTTCAGTTGTAGGGTGGTTGGATAGCATTCTTACCTGGAGTTTGCTTGCATATCTCGGTAGACTGATTGTCTGTGGTTGTCAGGTGGAGTCTCGCCCCCTTTTCCCATAGATTGCCATACTTAAAGTTCTAATAGGACTTCCTCGCTCTACCAGATGACGTTGGTCATTTGAAGAACTGCTTGGTCGGACCAATCTACTTGAGCAGCACTGCTGCAAGCTTGTCTTCTCCAGCTACCTGGCCATACCGCAGTTACATTTTTGCCCGCCTTGTCTTTTAGATAGTCATAGGAAGGTGCGCAGAGTGTTTCATCTCTCATTGAGGCCGTCTATCCACTGTAGTCTAGTTGATGATTGCCGAGTGATTCAACTACTTGCTAAAGTGCTTGTGCCATGTATCCAAAATTTCTACAGATGGCATCTCCCTTGGTGCCGTACCCACATCCTGGAGGCTTCCGGTCGTTCCGATGTTCGATCCACAGGTGGATTTCAAACAATCGTAAATTTCCTTGTGCTACTATAGAATAGCGAATTGCTCGAGTTGCTGTCTTTTTCTCCAACATTGCTCTGAATTGACTGGGTTATTGGCTCCTGTTTCCCGAGCATACTGTCAGTAGAGACAAGAGATGCAACAAGCGCCTCGTTCTTCTCCATTACTGGCTCGACGTGGCCATCAAACCAGTCAGGGTATCTTGGGCGCAGTTGTCGTAACTCGTTGACTGTCGAATCGCCGCTTCATGTTCTGTTACGCTTCACCCAGCGGCTTACGTAGATTTAAAGCTGTCTGCCGTCGCTGGTACATCAGCCTGTTTTTCAAATCTCTTCGTTCCTTAACATCAAGCGTTATGCGTTCATTTATCCGGTTAGCGTAGTGCAACTTACGATGCCTTACTTTAGGCTTCGATCGGACAGTTTAGTGGTCTGTTCCGCAGTCTGCTCATCGCATTACATGTGTGATGCCCGCCTCGTACCTCTCGGTGGTGGGCGATAACGCAGTCGAATACATGGGAGTGGCAGCGACGTTTATCTGTCCATACTACGCTTCTTTACTATTGGGATAAAATATCGCGTTAATAGCAGAATGTTGTGTAAGTTGACCACCGTTTGTGTTTATAATCCGTGTATCATGCCGCCCATAACGCCTGGTCACAAAAAGTGATCCCGATCGACACGTACTACGATGCTGTTAGCAACATCTTATTGGAACTGTTCTGCATGGCTTAATTTGGGCCACACAAATTAAAAAGCTTGCGCGACTACCTGAAGGAAGAAAAAGACGAAGTCACAACTCCCACTCTTGAATCTGAATTAGTGATTGAGAATGTAACTGGAAACCGACGACGTCCCAATAACTGAAAGCTTAGGTTTATGTGGGCAATTGGATAAATGGGATCGAAAGGAGCGAAGGTTTCAGAGTAAAGTTTCGAATTCGTAAGATGACCGATCATTCCGTCTGTGTTGTGTGGTCATGTTTGACAGATGATTGAGAAAGCCGGCCAAGAGGCTTAAAGTAGGTTTTGGAGGTTGGACTATGGAGCCTTCTAGGATGACAGTGTAAGCTACCTGCTTAGATCCTATATGAGTTGAACCTAACTTCACTCACGTTGTTCACTTGTTTATTGTAGAATAACTCCTTTCGGGGCATAGCAACCATGCCACCCGAAGGAAGCACGAGAGCTGAGATGCCGTCAGGTTGCCCAAACCTAAATAAGAGCAGTTGAGATGCTGGGGTTGGTTCGAACCAAAGATCTTGCGTTCAGTAATCACTGAGCCATTGCGAGCATTGTAGAGGGAACCGATTGGGAACCTTTTTAAGCACTGATATGGTGAGGTATCGTGAACCATGCCACCGAAGGAAGCACGAGAGCTGAGATGCCGTCAGGTTGCCCAAACCTAAATAAGAGCAGTTGAGATGCTGGGGTTGGTTCGAACCAAAGATCTTGCGTTCAGTAATCACTGAGCCATTGCGAGCATTGTAGAGGGAACCGATTGGGAACCTTTTTAAGCACTGATATGGTGAGGTATCGTGTGTCTTTCGCCATGAGTGCCCAGCTCAGTGACTCGATAAGTTTCGGTTGATATTGCACTGACTGTCATTCAAAAACACTTATTATGCAAGACGCAGTTGGATGCCGCCTTTTCATGATTCACACCGCATCATGCCCACGGTGTATTGCACAGCAATTGCGCGTGAATGTGTAACAACGATCGTACACCTCTCTTTCAGTGATTACGATGACCGCATTTCGTCGGTTTCTTACGACTCCTGTCAAACTGCAAAAAGCACGCTGTCTGATCAGAAGGATACAACTCCCAACAAACCGGCGTTCTACTTTAGTGTCAGTGCTCTTCCGGCGTGGGCTCGTCGAAAAGTAAGCCATGATCCTAAATCTGGTTGAAGGTAATGTTTCCGTCAGGATTTATCTCATAAAATTTGCAGTAATCCTATCATTCCCATCCCGACAATTTTCCGGTCATGATTCTTAGGTGCTGCACCACAATCCTATTCGCTGAATTAATCGAGAGTGTCTGGTCTCGTTTTGACCCATTCTCTCTCTATTGTTTCGGTATACACTCAAAAAATTCTACTTGTGCTGCCTCGTAAACTCTCAGAGAATGACCAAGAGAAACTCAGATTACGGGTACTTGGTCGAAAGTTTCTCCGTTTGCAACATTCGGGATTGCCGTTCATGCTCTATGCGTTGGTGACTTTTTGGTCGGCACACTTCAGCTTTTCACACCATCACCTATGATGGGCATTCCTCCCCTGCGTTACTATATTATTATAACTATATTTGGACAGCACTGTGCCGGTTTTAACGTTTGCCCAGGAATTCCTGTTGAATTCATTCAGTTAAGACCCTGTAGGTTCGATGACAGTAATATATTTCAACATCATTCTGCAATCTCACAGCGAATTCGGTGGGTTGTCTCGCCCCATCAATTCGGATATTTAAGACCACGCGTAACTTGCACTTCACTTCCTTGTCTGTGAACACTTTATAGCTGAGCCGGCGGGATTCGGTCGCGTTGGTGCCCCCATCTCTCGAACAGGTGATTAGAGATGTAATCCACCTATGTTAGCACACGTGCATCCTACCGACCTATTTTTGTCTTGTTGCACAGCATGCACCTCTGTTTCGCTACTAATTCCCTGCACCTCGCCTTCATCTCGATTGGTTGGTTTCATACTACGTTTTTTCATTCTTTTCGCTCGTAGTGTCGCACATCGTTCTGGTGCATGTTGTTTGAATAGCTTCGCGCAGAAATTAGCTTGTTCATTTTAGTTGATTCCTCAACCCATCCGCACTTTTATTCACTCACCATTGAAAAGACCAGTTCTTTTTTGCCACACCTCGCCCTCTAGGCTCACTCGCACGTGACTCGACTCCTGTACTTTTTCGGGTTTGCGGATGTTTTGTTGATCAGAATCGCACGTGCACGAATACACCTGTACGAAAACAAATATCGATGAGCGATGTTTGAGTTCCAGTGCATAGTGGTCTTAGGCATCGTCAAAGCGGATAGGGACAACACACGAGCTGAGTTATTAGCATAGAAATAGGCGACTGAAATAATCGACTCCTTATTACTAATTGCTGTACCTGCGAATCGTAAGGTTAGTAATTTGGTGCTCTTACCATACTCTGTCTGTTCGCCCACATTTACGTAGCCAGCAACTTCATCGGAGGTGCAGTAGACGGGATAACCACCAGTGTGCGTCATCGTAATCCATTACATCTTTTAGAAGTCCGACCCATATGACGTTTGTGAAATCTTTTGCCTCCGATGTATCAGATCTTTGCTTTCGCGTCGTAGTTACGTTAAATGAGAGATGCTTAGGCAGTTGAGTAAATTTTTGATTACATGTATTACATTTGTCTAGTCGGTCGCTTTCAACGCCATTGAACATTACGTCAAAGGGCTTTTATTCTTTATTGGAGTAAGTGATCCAAGGGTTTCATGTTTTTGTACCCGGGCATTGCTGACTAAGAAGGGTCCTTGAGGCACTTCTTCTAACGACATACCAATGGACTAAACTGCTTCGCGTCTCAGGTAGCCAGGTAGTGCATGAACTTCAACTATCATACGTCGATTAATCAATCCCCTGGTGCGCTTCTTCATTTCGATTAGTTTACAATATATCCACTTCAGTCGTATTGGGGTTGCATTGCATTACCTTAAGCCAATGTGTATTATCTCCAACCAAAACTTCGGGGACGCCAGTGGAAGTTTGGCTTCACTAAATTTATCCGGATCGCATCGAGTTCCCCTTTACTTATCCCCTTGGTGGTGCACACAACTGCTTGCTTTTGCTTGGTTTCCTCTCCTTGTTGGAGCACCAGGTCTTTCGCACTTTCGGGTTCAATTTTTTCATCTACAGCTGTCGCTGGCCGCACATCCGGAACGTTTGGTCTCTCATACGGACGTTCACGTGGAACGTTCACTTGTACCTACTCAAAAACACTCCACGCAGCCTGATGAACAACCAAAGGTGAGTGGCTAGTGTTTAGTGCAGTGGTACAATTTAACGGCATTCGTCACAAGAGAAAGCGATTTCTTTTGGTCCCCTTTTGGTCTCTCTCCCTTAGAGAGAGAGAGAGAACACTTTGCACAGAAGGCCGCTCAATCGAATACTAGGCTGATCCAAAGTGTTCTCTGCGAACTGTTTTCGTCATCCAAGTTGTCCAAGTGGTGACTACAATTATGCATACACTTTCATAGTGTCTTGAAACTGAACTACGATATCGATTGGGACTGGGCAATAAGATTATTCCAGACGAACCGACCACAACGTCAATATGGATTTACAGGCGCCAGGCAGGTCTTATGAATGTTTCTACTTCTGTTGCACCACCACGTACTAAAACAACAGAGTTTGTGTGAATCCGTGGGTGACTGGTTTTCACCGCAGTATGACTTGATTGGTATTAGTCCCAAACTTTTAATCAGTGAATCTGCCTCTGTCCCATCACATACGACATCAGAACTGTTGAACAAAATCAATGCCTTTCTCTGTCACTATGAGGACAGCGGCATGTATTTTCTCTCGGGATGTTTACTTTACTTGGCGGTGGCTTTCTTCAGGATGAGAACGAATTGGCTCAAAGAGTATCCCGGGTCACTGCTACCCATGCATCTCGCTTGGCGGTAAGATCTGAGCAAAACATATTCGGCTTATGTTCCACTGTTTTGACCCCCTAGACCACTTGCAGAACAAATGGTGCAACGTTGGTCTCGACTGTAGACTGCTAGCTTTTCCGAACGTTTCCATAGGGTGTTGGGAACCTGCGGGAATTTGCTCTGACGTTATCGATACGAAGGTTTATCACTTGTCGTGCTTGACTATTAGGTTGGATGATGGAACCCAAATATTTGAAGGAATCGACTTGGTTCGTTGGCCCTTAGTTAACAGCAGGCGGGTTAGGCTGGATGTCCATGCTTGTGGTGAAGAATATCGTTCTTTTGGGATTCATCTCCAGTCCAAACGACGATGTGGTCACGGATACTTTGCATTTTCGTTGGATCTTTATTCAAGATGACGATGTTATGAGCATGATTAAAGTCCGTGATCCATGCCTCAGAGCCTATTATTACTCCAGGGATGCCACACCGAGACGTGCGACTTTTCCCTATCGGTCGCAACATTGTGAAAATATCAGAAAAGGTGGACAGCTTTGCCAAACACCAGGGTTTAAAGAAAGTTTTGTGGTTTTTATAAAAGCAAATACTCAAAGTTTTTGAAAATCCTTCGGCAGCTCACGACAGGTTTCGCACTTCTTGGGACACGGCCGCCGAGTTTTCGTCAAACTTATGTTCTACTTGAATCCAAATTGGATGAATTTAGATAAGTCCATTCATTTGCACATCAATTTGGTGTTCACGGAAGACTCAACTGAATCTCTCGTTTATGATATTCAATCGAATTTGCTGCACAAAGACCCTCTCATGTTTCAGTTAGTAGGTATCTGTGGTGTGTAGTAAATGGCTGGGCAACTGAGTAGCGAGACCAAATGTTCAGTCCATCTCCTCTGCTTTTGGTCACAGTCCTTTGTTGGTTGGCACTTCGCGTCTCGAAGATTGTTTTAATGACCTTGCCGTTGGCCTAAAGCGCAACGCATCTGCCAGAAATGGTACGAATAATCAGTGACCTTTGCAGCTTTCTCTATGCGAGAAGCCAATTCTGACCAGTAATCCATGCGTTCACTCCGGGCTGAGCAGGTGGGAAGGCGACGTGAGCTGCCGAAATTGAAGGCGCTGGCCATGCATGCCTAGGAGGCTTGCCAAGAGGAGTGGCTGGTTACTCCGGAGATCTAGTCTTTGTCGTGCCGAGATTTAAATTCAAGATCCGATGCGGTGGCCTGTTTCATGAGCATCTTTAGACGTAGAACTTGTTGATAGAGATGGGTTGAACTCGGGAAAGTAGGCAATTGATCGGTGGGTCAGTAAATGAGATGAAGTTTGAAGCTTGCATGCACATCAGTGTGTTCTGAACCGTATTTACACCTGGTTTCCGCTCCACGATACCCCCATGCAGTCCTCAGTAGACTGAGCTCATCGGACTGCAACCAGCATGTAGTCAGTTGGGGATCATCATTGCAAAGCCAGGTAAGTAGATGTCTCCTCGGATGCTGGAAACACCTTTCGGATGCCGCAATTCGATTGAAGGCGGTAAAACTAATCGGTCATCGTTTTTAAAGTGTTCTTTTAGCCGAGCTTTCCAAAGGTGTGACGGGTGGCTTCAGTTGATATCTCTGTTCTCGCCTTCCAATCGCCAAATCCAGGAGACGGTTGGGTTACAGTCGACCACTCTTGTAGCTCACCGTAGAAATCGTCCTTGACAGAGAGATCCGTTTAATAAGCAGGAGCGTAAACGGCTGTGGAGGTCAGGTTTATTAAACAGTCTTTGAAACGAACTGCTTCAATCGTAGAGTTCAGCTTTGGCCTTTGCGCAACCAACTGCAGATTGCAAATTGGTAGGAAGGTATGGAGATCAGAACTGTTGGATGGACAGTTGCAGCATCGGTCGATCTCAGCCCACCCAGTCAGATCTGGCTTTTGTTCGAGTTCGCGTTTATTGCCCGTGCATATCCAAGTGCTACCTGCAGGAAATCAGGGTTTCTAGGTCGCCAGTGGCCATCAGACGGTTTTTATGCCATTTCGGTAGCACTGGTTGCAGACCGGGAGTCTATGTTCGCCTTATGGCACATGAAATCCCTTTCGGGGTAATACTTGCCATGTCGTGGCGTCGTCTGCAGGCCCATGTACTATTGTGTAGGGGACCCTATTATCACTCAACAATCTACCGCTTCGTAGAGACACTAAAGCCAGAACCAAATCAAACCGTTAGCTCATGTATAACAGAATTCGAACCATGTCGCTCCACGATCAGGGGTGGATGGAATTAGCGATCTTCTGAAAATCTCTAAATGGTGCTTTGCCGCGAGAGGCAACCCGTGAGTTCGAAGCAGAAAGCCGAAGGGTAGGGTTATCCTCTTGTTGGTATACAATGCGACTGATTGGAAAAAGTGAGCATTCACAATGCTTTACTAAACAGCTCATCCTTCTTGCCTTTAGCCTGTCTTCGATGCAAATTCTGGTGTCTCTGTGAAGCAGACTGCATTTGAGTTGACAGAAGGATCCGGTAGTCCGCGGACGAGGTATCTTCGTGCTGTGAATCAGTCCGCTGACTCAAATACCCGTCCAGACTTCCGGGTAACCCATCCACCAGGACATTCAGCCGTACAAACTCGAGTCGTGGATTCTCGCACCTCACGGTCGAACGTTTCGCGGGATGCTTCACCGAAAAGCAATACAATATCCGCCCCCACAACGCCCTACCGTCGGGACAGGTTGTCCGCTGAAGCTATTGGCAGACGAAGTATGCAGCTCCCAAAGAATCATGTGTCCTCTGGGAGCACACCAAATGTACGCTCCATTGCCGTGCGTTCCGAAAGTACTCGTGCTATACGGGCTTTCAGTCCACCATCAAACAGTGTACGTGCTGCGATTTTTTTCGTTTTGATAATTGTTAAGTTGGGCAATGTCTATTTCCGTGGCATTCGTCCCCTAAATCCCCACTGTCAAGCTGTCAGATTTAGTTTATGAATCAACCGTAAACCCTGGATAAGCGGCACATATCAGTCGCGCTATTATCCTTTACGTCTATTCACCGAGTTTGTTGATGTTTTCACCTGGCCACTAATGTAGAGTATAACTTTATCCACAGATGAAACATAAGCCCAACAGACAACCAACTTATTGTTTGATTTCTTCTCTTCCACAACTTCGCTTATTTTTTCTGTGTGTATGGATATACCTCTCCTAGTTTGACTTTGCGGTAGCTTTTGGAACTTGCTGATTTTTCGTTGTTAGTATCGGGTTCAGCTGTTCTCACTTGAATCACATTAAGAATGCACCATTTCTTCCAACAAAATGTGTTATAAAAGGACTCAAGTTGTTTAGTTCATTGAATCAATCCCTGGATTTCTCCTAGAAGTGTTGTTCCAAGCGAGTTTCGGAAACTTACTGCTTCCTAAAGCTTGATAAGCGCCCTACGTCTAAGTTGTCGAATATCACAAAGTTATGGTCACGTGGAATGAAAAATGCGTACTGTCTGTTAAAAATATGTACAACAACAAGCGTCGTCCGTTCCCCTATTGTGGTCATTCGCCTGTATGACACTCACGGTGTTAACGAGATCCATCAATTTATATGTCCCACTGAGTTTTATACCATCTGGATAATCAGCTGGTTGTCCCATAACTGTAACATACACAGCACAAGAACTAACAAAAATCCTAAACGTTTCCCACCAGATCCAGAAATAGCTGATAACAGGTTGATTATCCAAACACAGAGCTGGGTAAATCAGGATCAATAATCGTGCGCATTCTGATCTAGTTCTCAAATCGAGTTGAACATTGAAACTTTCTCCGTTATGCTGTCTTTTTGACCTCACTAGACTGTTGAAATCATTTTTGCAAGTTTTGCATCATCTGGTTATACCCGCCGTCCGTTTCTGTGTCCGCAATTAGCTTTTACCGAAGCTATTTCTATATCCCTTATTAACTAGTTAGTCTCTGGTTTATTTCCTCTGATTTCTGACGCACCCTGGTGCTTGAGAGCTCTAAACTGTGACACAGTAAGTTAAATTTTTTTTAAGGTGCATGATTCGCACCTTACTACATGGGAGAATGTTGCAGCAGCCGCAAAAGTTAGTCTGCGCAACTACAGTTTGGTCAGTGTGTCAATCCGCCCGAACATTCAGTTCTGTGATACATTGTGCGATCATCGCAACCGTCTTTCAAATACGCCCGTTTTACTCACTACAATAGTTGTCAGTCAAGGTGATGCTGCGTTCTGTAGCTTCGAATTATGTTAACTCTGTGTTTTACATGTATGCTTAGGTTTATCTGCTGGTGTTTTTAGAGTGACTTACACATCTGGCTAGCCGTCCGCTGGACCGAAGCAAGCATTGGAGGAGTTTCCTTTCGTTTACCTAATGATGCCCTCATACGATATATTTTTCCAAGTTCCTATAGGCCATTTCCGTGTACAGGTATGACGCTTCCCCAGTTACAGAACGATCGACCATTACTCATCAGGTACTGCACTTATCTGTTACGTATGACGTATGTCACATGGCACTTGCGACAAGTCTTGAAAATGCTCAATATTGTGCACTCTCGTACCTTTATGGTGCCAAGTTGGCTCATTTTTTCCCTGATCGATCATAGCCGTTCACGAATAACCTATCTCAGTAACTCTCATTAGCTCCCACCTGTTCGTATTCCTCGTCACGTTACTTGCTATCTGCTCCGTTTTGTAGTCTACTTTTACTGTGGAAGAAGGCGACGAAGCATCGATGTGTAGTGGGTCTTCCCGCCGAGCTAGCACATGTCGTGGTGGGCTCGAAAGAGCTCATACTTCATCCAGTCTACGAAGACCTGCTATCATGCGCCCAACACCTCATTCGAAGTCTACTGTGGAACTAAGGTCGAATAGGTGAGTCTGCCGTTCTTGTACTTCTGTATTCTTTTTCTTTGTGATTCTATTGCCTGCAACTTCCATGGCAAACTACATCTGCTTCTCACTTTGTTTTCTCAGTTCCTCTTCTATTGACACTCAGGTGAAACAGGGCATTCAGTTTACCGCATTTTACGGTATTTCATGTGCGATAATTTCCCATAGTCATCACTTATGCTTCACTTGTTGTCTCTCACGCTTTCCTTTTTCCAGTCAACGACCCGTTGCTAAATCGAAGAGTTGTGGTGGTGAGAAGTGCAGTGGTGTCACACCAGCTTATTTTTTGTTTCCCGATAAACGAAAAATATCCAGAGCAAGCTGGTTTCCCCCTGGGTACAGTAATAAATGTGGTTTCTGGGTGTGGTTCCTTTTCTCGAGTTCCTCGCACCTTGTCCTTGGGAAGTGGTACTACTTTTATGCTTATTACTCACCTCATAATTTAACCTGTGTTACTAGTCATATGCGAGCATTCTCTCTGACTCGGTGTTACTTAAAGATCATATGTAAGCTTGGGTTGCTGGCAGGTACCATCGAGTCATTTCTATCCAGCGTTAGAACAAGAGAGTTGAATGTGATAATGACTTAGGACAGTAATGTCTAGCACTCAGCAACATATGCACGCTCTCATTTTACACTTTTAACATACAGCGAGAGCCAGTTATGAGACACAGGATATTCATGTAAATTCTCCCTCTTCGTATGGTGGGTTTATACACCCAGGAAGCTCTTCTTCAGCGACCACTGACTGAACCGGTCGAAAACGCCTGCTTCAGAAGTCAAGCCACTTTATGAGATGTGGCAACCTGGTGATTGTCCTTGTGTTCAGTCGTTTCAAACTGGAGCCAAAATTCTTCGCGGTGTAACCAGTAACTTCGTTGGCCGATTCACGCCAGCAGTTAACATCAGAATCGTCGGAATTTTTCTGGAAGATCCATGTTAGAGTGTTTAGAAGACCAACGATAAACGGTCGCCCAGGGAAGTGTTCTTTACTGAAGCATAAGCAGAGCTAATTTAGTCGACCAATATGCCTGTATGCGAAAGCCACTTATTCAACAGGTAAATGCTGCTGACCAAGTGCCATTTCCGGGGAGCTTTAAACGATGCCGAACCCCCACTCTCTTATGGCCTTCTCTGTAACGACTACAGTACGGCCATTAATTTGTGCACATCAGTTGTGATGACTTGGACTACTATCGATTATCACTGTAGCAAAGGGTAGATCCCTTTTGTACATGTAGATAATTATTGCTCTTAACCATTCCTGCTAATCCTGGTTCATGTAAGTATTTTGCATACTACATTAACATTGCTTCACACTGGTGTCTACGATCGGGTTTTTGAACAATATTCTAATTGTCAGTGATGTTCGCTTCTCGCACTGCCGACTTTCCCTGTCCCAACTTATTTCAACTTCTCTCTTCTTTTCACCAATACTCTAGTGGATCAACTCGAGGTTCTTTGCTGAACATCAGCATGACAGGCTCGGATCGACCTTCTGAATCCTGTGTCACCTTACCTACGACAGAGTCTGATCAGGTAGGAAACACCTGACTTTTTTCATCTTTTTCTGCTATATCCGGGTTGTGATTGCTCTTAGTATATGATGTACGCAGCTCACTTCTCTGTTACCTCAATTTCCGTGCTGTGGTTTGAGACCATCGTCAAGCCTATTCTGTGTTATCATCGCCAAAGACGGCGGCCTTTTGAGTAATATTGACTTTTGCTATCGAGAAATTCATTTATAATGGCGTCGAAATGGAAAGAAGGAAATGTGACTCGGGAACGGGCCTGGCACTAATCTCCTGCAGTATTCCGTAGCTATTTCACTGGCAATCGATCACTCGGAGAATCTGAATAGAAAATAGCATCAGAAACGTGAATCGCATTACTAATGGCTCCGGGAATTTCCCTGATTCATTAATCCTATCAGAACAGCTTACGGTACCAAGCATTCCACAAGCAACGTACATCACAAGTATGGTCGTTCTCTCGGCCCAAAGTAACCAGTGTCTTTTGATATTCCGAATGCATTTGATCGTGTCTGGCCTACTTAACTCCTGGACAACACCACATGGTTTGTGTACCAATGTACTCAAATCTACAGGAAGTTTCCCTACTGCTGACTGTTCCGGGACCCGGAACATGAAAGGGTTGCGCTCTTCCCTACTCCTTCTCTACATTAGTGACTTGTCGCCTGGCTCGTCACATGCGGCTGTAGTACCGAACTTTCTTTGATGTAAACCTGTAGCTCCTGAACATGTCCTGGTCATTAGTTTTTGGGGCTATGACAGATCTATGGCGTATGCAATACCCCCACGTACATTTAGATCCGACTTGCGTTAGCACTGCTGAAGAAATCTGGATTTCATATTTTAACAAACAACTCTGAATAGCCGGATAAACGGAAACCATTAGACCCACCTGTTCAGTTGTGAGATCGGCGAAACCGATGGTACTGGACTGTGTAAGTGCTTTCGTTATCCCTATAAATGGTGTCACCCAGGAAACTGGTGAAGCTTTTTCCGTTTTAGAAAACAAATGCACAACGTACTTATACCGAACTGGATAAGCGTCTTATCCTTGGGTTTCATTCGCGTGGATGTAGATTCCTTTAACTAAGAAAACGCTTGAGAGATCCAGATTCATTTAACTCATGATCTGACTTATCCTGACTGATGGGAGATACAGAGAAACAAGCTATTTCAACACCATCTTGTTCCAGTTAATTCTTCCGTATGTGCATCATCTTCACACAGAACGTTTTGGTGCGGCCCCGGAAATATATGGAATTGAGCGCTTGTTCTGCATGAGTCGTCTCCCGAGAAACCTCAGAATTCTTAAACAACTGGGAACCACATTAATTACCCCTGATCGTTGTCGTGCTTGGCGAATGGTCCTCGAACTGAATCCTGGAGCCACTTCTGGTGGTCACTTGTGTTCTAACAGAGAAACCCGAATTGAGAGAAGCTTCTTTGGCGGGGCACTTTGATTGAAGACCAGAGTTATACGGACATGAGTTTTTTAGAGTGGAGATTGATTTGCATGACAGGACAGTTTGTGAGAAGGTTATACGGTCGGATAATGATCGGTCCTATCTGTGAATGATCAGAGCCATGGGATTATTTCATGCAGACCGTTTACTAGAATTCTTGCAGAGTCAATTGTCCTACGGTGACGAGTTTGGGTGGAAAGGCCATTAGCGCACATAAATTAGATTCAATGGATATACCCTTATCTTTCGGGGACACATCGTAGTTAACAAACTACACTCTGGTTGATTGCAGTAACATATTATCTATATTGGTCATTCTCTTCATCCTCCGGTCTTATGCTATAATGAATGGTATTCAGATAGTTCCACAGTTGACTTAACGTGCACTGTTTATGGTCGTACTGGTATTGCACAGGGATCCCGCCGAAGAGTACGTTGTGGCGCACAACGCAGGTTTGTTCGTAGATGGTGATCTTATGTCAGCTTTGCCCTCAGTCATAATCAATCTACTGTTTCTCACCCTTTTCTCTCTCTCTCTCTCTCCCTCAACCATCGCTTTTTGGTGACCAGGCGCCGTCAGTGCTTATATCCGGTAAGTTAACTTTTAAAAGCTGCATATCATCAATCTACATCTTCTTCCTTTTTGCTGTTGTGTTTCATGGTGACTGAGCTTTCTTATTCACTCTTATTCAACCGGATGCAAAGTTTCGATACCTGAGTTCTATCTGTATGTTTCCTACAGAGTCAAATTAATTTGTTCTCTTGTGCGAAGCTTTTTTTTACACATTCATTACACCAACGCTGTTATCCAGTGTTAGCCAGCTGACAAAGCAGTTTTACATTCTCACACCTGCTGTCCACTTTAGCTACTTTAGCTTATCATCACTTAACTGTCATTTTTAGCGTCCCCCAACCAAATTTCTCTTGGCACTTTGGAAGGAATCTCTGAGCGATCATCCCCAAATCATACAAACAATAGTTCATTTCTCGGTGATTCCCGCAGCGTGACCCCATTGGCGTGCTCTTCAACCAGAATTAACGGAACAGAATCGACATCGTCCCCGGTTAGATCTCCCGTGGATTCACTGAACGAGGCAGAAGCTGGTTCTCGTCGACCGGCCTACACAGCACCAACCATTGCATCACGCCAGAAGGTATATCCACCGAATACTCAGGATCATCCAGCCACTGTGATCATGCGCCCGAAAAACACGGAATCGTCCACCTGTCTGATAAAAAAGGCCTCATCTGCGCTATCCGTAGAAGTAAATTCCTGTTCAAACCAATTTTCTGAAAGACAATCGGGCGGGAAGAATACTGTTCGCCTAGGCTCACCTTTCCCGCGCACGCCTGATGCTATGCCCATTTGCTCAGCCAGCCATACATGCCTCTCACAATCAGAGGCTCCCAGCCCTCAATCTCCACAACTCTCTCGTGCTCGTTGGGCACCTGCTTCTTGTTCACCGAGGAAGCAACAACCGATGTCACAGCGTAAGGAGCCACTCATCGGAAAGTCAGCCACCACTTCTCGTCCCAACCGGCCGAAAGATCTATTTGCCCCTTCAACCGGTCGTGTTTTGGAGAACCAAACAACTTTGAACTCGCCTGTATCTCGAGTTATCAATTGTGATTCGGGTGGCCATGCTCCAAATTCTGTTTCTTCCCCTTTGGAGAAGCCATCGGTTCATTGTCGGACCCGTACTCTTCCTGTAAGTTTGAACGATTGGCCTCTTTCAGCACGTCGCGATTTACCACTGGTGTAAGAGAGCGACATTTCATAACTCCGTTGTGAGTTCGCTTTTTTATCTTTGTGATGTCGCTTCTGCTCAAATCGTACATCTGGTACGAAGGAGCATAGTGTTTGAATTGTGCTAATGTGGATTAGACCCTAGCAAGGACAGTCGAAATGTTAGGACTTAATTAAGTCCACAGACAGTCCGCAAACTAGAGCTTTTAAAGCTATAACTCTATTTACTGTAGGTTATTTCGCTTCTGGCGCGTTTCTACTGCTTGATTTAGCTTCCCGTCCCAAGTAATTTGGATGCAACTAGGTAAAATTGGCAGGTTATCGTGTTCGGGTTTATTTCGAATGACTACATCATTTTACTGCTGTTCTCCGAGGGTCTAAGCGGGTTATTTAGTTTTGATGCATTAAGCCTCATCCTAGAGCTGCACCTTCTATGAGAAAAATTGTTACATTCTCCATGGCGCCTGGTCAAACAAGTCAGTTCTGACGTGGTGTAGATTCAATTTCGGATACTACCGTTCCGTAACAAGATACGCTTGTGATAACCACTTTTAGGCGACTGGTTTTTCCCGACATTAATAGGGTGGTTTCGAACAATCAATATTAAGGATGATAGTCGTGGAAGTTGGACAGGAGTAGGTGATAAATCAACTGAAGACTGGAAAGTATAAGAATGTTCTCAACACTACATTTTCGCGCCTCTTCAGTCGATGACAGAGAGGCTCACACAAACCTTGATGTTGCTTTGCACCGATGACACTTTCAGTAGACGAATAATATTACGCAAGTTGTTTCTATGATAAGATGAGTCTGCTCAGTGCACATTTTAGGTAGTGGTCCTCCATGCGCAAATACTGTGGGCAAGATATGTGTATATGGAGCCGAGCCCGTTTTGAACGACGAACATGTGAAATCCTTCGAAGTTCCAGACAATCGATAGGCTTGGTTGTGATAAACTAGTTTTGAGCTGATCTTCCGAGTGACAACGTTGACGTATGGAAGGTAACTTTGTCTCCCAGATTACGAAGTACCAATGTAGTTTGCGTCCTTGGAGATAGGCGGCGGAATGTTGTATCCCGAGACAAAGTTGACGAACTTTATTGTTATACAGTCTATAATGGTCATTTTATTCAACAAAATATCCAGTTTACCAACACAAACAAGTCACTGTGACTTAGTGTTTATTGTCTCGAGAGTCTTTGAATGTACACGTATGGTCATTTGAATTCGTTTTTCGCACCCGTTGACAGGGATCTCGTCGTGGCTGCACGGAGTTAGGACAGTTCCATTCCACACGTGCCGCGTTCCATCATGTTCAAGAAGCTCTGGATACTGCCTTAAAACATTGTGCCGATTTCAGACGCATGAATTCTGATCAGGTGGAAGAGCTACAGACACTACGCTCGCTGATCACAGAAGAACTCGAATGGCGCTTCACCCAACTTCGTGCTATGTTGGGTTTGGAACCAGTGTGCGTGGATCCACCAGTCGCACGCGTTCTGCTTGCTGATCTGGTCGAACGACTTATACCAGAGTTGCGAACTTCTGTTCAGTCTGACAATGTTGATGCGATCGAAGATTCTTCCGCTGATTTCAAAGATGTTAAATCTCAACCTGAAGGATCCTACGAGTGGATAGTCGACAGCACCACAGGAGCTTCCCCTATGAATTCCAGGCGGACTGCTGAATCGCACAATGTCTTTTCAGATCATGCAAAATTTGAACTCAGTTTGGAAGGTGAAGAAGAGCAAAGTTGATTACTTGTATCTCTGGCTTTCTTTTCTACCCAGTTCTTTCATGTATTGCTTTCCAGTTGCGCATTTATCCTGGCTGGCTGCCTCTATGCCAAACAACTTCAACGGTTGAATTATTCCCTCGAAGTTTGACTTCACAGTCCCAACTACACCTTGCATTTCTATCCTTCCCCCTGCATTCTCGCTTATCCATGTCAGTTCGACTCTTTCGACCGTACTCAGTTGCGTTTTGCCTTGCAGCGATATGTACTGCTTGCATGCGCATAAAATATCTATTTATGGAGCCAGTCAGGTTTCATTTGGCTCCTCTGTATGTTCCTTGGGCACTCCTCCATTACTTCACCACCTGAATCACTCCACATTTTCTAGCTTCGTTTGGCGATCATGTGAAGGAAATTCCTCCGACTGATTACCCATTTTGCCAAACATCACATTAACTGAGAATTTCCAACTGCCTAGTTCTTCCAAACTCTGATTTATTAACTTTTTAACCTTATATCAATAAACGTTTACTTCTAACTTGCTCAAGCTCTGTGGTTCTCAGGCAAAGTGAAGTGGGACCGAAGATTTTGAAGACGCCAACTGTGCTACTCCTGATTGTTGGTGCGAATGAGGCATTTGACACTCATCTTCAAGTGTTTGTGAATTTTTCACTGTTTTTGTTGTGCGCTAACTCCCCAGTATTATATGTCGTTTACGGCAAACATGTGGCCAAGACATGTTCACGTTGCAACACGCGCCTCATTATTTTTGGGATCTTACGCACTGTGAAATTATTTAGCAAGCGAGTAACGGAAAGGGGATCTTACAAGCAGTATGAGAACAAACAACGAGGCGCTTCACAGCTGGAGACAAGGCCACATGTTGCTCACCATACGTGAGGAGATGTGCGTCGTAAAATACTGGGTTGAAGTTGCACTAGGGTCGACGTCACATTACACTTAAGATGGTTGTGAGAACTCTTTGGTTCGTCAAATTATCCGAAGAACATGTGAGCGTTTGGTTCAGTACTTGACACGCAAGAGAGCGGAGCTATTTATGGTGTTCGTAGTCTGCCGGGAGTCAGTAAGTGACTGATGAAATTTATTTGAATCACTTACTCATTTGGTGTCTTCCCACTGTTTTATAAGATGAGCGCTTACTCGTTCGGAAGTCCATTGTTTCGCGAAGAAACATTCGCTACTGTTTCAAAGAACCCAGATGCTTTAGACTAATACCTAAAGCACGAAGGATTCTATATGGGCCTGTCATTTGATCTAAAAATATTGTAAATCGAGAATTTGCAGGCATTCCATGGTATCACAAACTGCGCGTACATTGAGACTACCCGTCGTGCTTGAACAGCACCATCGGATGGCCTGGTTAGCATAATTTTTGCTGAACATAAGTCATCCAAAGAACTTATGAACAGTCAGAATGTGATGTTTCACTTGATCACGATTCGCAATCAGGTCTGGTGTGCTTATGCAGAAATTAGGTGCCAGACAGACGGGGTTTGTAATGGTGACTTGGATCAAGTGATTCACATGATGTTTGGGTCAGTTGCCACGCCTATTTCTGAACATCTGTTAACGGTTATGTGGAGAAATCCCGGACCCATAAGGTCTTCCTGGTCTTGCACGTCAGGTCGTGACTGTCGTTTTGTGGTTAGAGACAGTTGATCGTCTGGAACAGCTCAGCAGAAGGCTGAGCTGCCCTAGTACTCAGACTTGAAGCACAAAGCAGCAAATGGTGCTACTTTTGTCCGGTTCAGTGATGCTCGAACTTTCCAGTTGATGCCTTAGGTTTATGGCAAATTCGGAGCATTTGAAAAGCATTCCTTCCTTATGTAACGGCATAAGCGTTCTACAGCAATAACCCATAAGTCGGTCTTTCCGCATGCAGTTTACAAAACAGGTTTCGGCGTTAGGCGACCCAACGGAGTATGCCTGACCTACTGATACCATACAGCTATCCAGCTTGCGCTGATATAGTAGTGGTAACATCCCCGTTTCGTATGCCAGATGTTCGGAGTTCAAAGCCCGGCAAGACCAAGGATGTATACTTCTAATGAGTTCTAATTAGAAGATGAAATCCCATCTTCGATTATTTCACAAAGTACTCTGAGGTGATTCCTAGTCTTTCTCACGTCATTGAATACGTATTTGGTGCATGTTGGTATCAGGAAGATCAGATTCCTGAAAATAACCGCTGAATGTCTGAAATCTACTGAGACCCTCAACCCCACTAGATTCTGGCCGGACAGACAACACCCCTCAAAATGCAGTGCGTCAGAGCTTTGTATCAAAGCCAGACAGCGTGAGTTAGCGTTGGATTAAGGTCAGACAGTGGCCCCCCGATGAAATAGCTGGAGACCGTTGTATTAGCGTACTTGCGCACTCGCACTCTGTTGTTCGCAATAAAACTGTAGTGTTCTTATTGGTAAGTCTTTTTTCCGGCACTGGGCACTGAAGCGGGAACAGCAGTCACATGTAACGGTTAGAGATCCTTTAAAAAGTAACGAGTATGTCCCTCATCAGATTTACTAACGAAAAGATGAGAAAGTTGTTTATACAGTCTATAGCTTTGGTGATCATCACAACAGCCTCACAAATGATGAATCGATGGTATATCAGCACTTAAACTGACACAAGCCAATGAAATGCAGAATGAACCATTTAAGTGACGCTAATGATACTGCAAGACAGACAACGCACGGTCCATGTGCAGAGAACCATGTCGGTTTTTGAGAATACTTTCCAATCGGAGGATAGTCATAGTCCATTCTAGACAAAAATCTCCAAGCACACACGTTAAACCTGTTCTTTAGCGTATTTTCATATTAACACAAATCATTCAGCAAACAAATCAGGTGATAAAGATCAGCATATCTATTGTAGCACTGGAAGATCCATGTTATTTGAAGGCTCCAACACAATCAGATATTAGGGTATTCGACGTCTATTTGCCTCATGGCCGAATAGTTCACCTACATAAACCAGATTCGTGATATCGGTCAGATTGATTTCCTCGCTCCACATACTGGTCACCTATTTGATATATTCTGCTTGCAGCAGCAAGTTAACGCACAAAACTTCACCTTTTTGGCGGCTGGCAGTTTGAGCCGATGACAGATGACGACTGTTTGCAGGGTGCGTGGAAGACAAGACAAATCTACATTTTACTAAAGGGAAAGGCATCCCTATTGATCAAAAAGCTCAAAATAGCAAGCGCTTCTGTATTATCTTTTACTTTTCTTGCCCAATCACCCTCTACAACCTCAAAGAGCCTCCTAAGAAAGCGATATCGGACCCCTCCCCCTCAGAGACCAGATCGAGTTCGTCCATTCCACCTGTATGATGCGTACTTGCGGCGAGGCCATGACCTTGGACTACTCGCTAGTAACGTGACTTCTGCTTCGAATAGGCAATCGATTGCCACTCATCCACAAACCGCCTGCCAGGCACTACAGTCAGCAAAAACATGCGGACCGGTTATCCACTGCATCAGAGCAGAAGATCAGCAGATACTATGAGTGACAAACGAGATGACCCTATCAGCCCACCAGTCAATCGTCCGATACTGGAAGTTATGGAAGAGGTTCGGAGTAAACTGCGCTTGCTCGGTAAATTATTCATTTTAAGCTGAACATTTCGAACCGTGATCCTCCAAAAGTTTGACTTCGTTTACGCTACAACTAATCATGTTTACCATACTAGTGGTGCTGCGTGTGTAGTGTATCCGCAGCCTGTCACCATATTAGGCTCCAAATTTCGGGTCATGGCAACTTCCTACATCATCATCATCAAAGACAGCAACATCAGTATTGGCACTGGTTCTTCAATGTCGTGCAGCCATAAGGTTCGTCTAGTTATACAAATATATATATATATATATATATGCCCGAAAATGGCAAGCTACACATTTTCTGACACACAACCAGTGCCAAAGGGTTTTCATCAAGACGTGAAGATTGGAACACAAGCACTTTTGAGTTCTGTAAAACACAAAAGTATCATTAAGGTCGATATCATAATATCGGCCATAGTAGATTATAACAGTGTGGTATCACAGGCCCCCTAAGATCACATCCCTGCTGGTTAGTGATGACTATGTCACGCGCTTCTAATAAACAAACAGAATAAATCACTAGTTTACATGTTCATCAGATATAAATTTCTGATTCCAATGACCCGCTCAGATTTGAACCACACGTGCAGCGTAAAGGCGTGCACGAAAACAGCAGTGGGACAACGTGACTTCATGACATGTGGATGAACTAGATTTCGGGAAAAATAAGCCTGTGTCAGGAAGAGCTTGATGACCATTAAGTCAGAGTTCTAAGCGTACTTGTTGTACTTTTTCAAACTCAGCTGAAGAGGTAAAATATAGGCTCTGATTGCCAAGTGAAGAAACATGGACTTGGTGAGGGGGCAAAAACTTATGGATATTTAAAACTAGGTTCTATATCATTATAACTAAGCAACTGGACTGTGATTTCTCTACCGCAGTTATGAAGACCCTATTTAACCATTCTCAAACCGATGGCCAAATTATTCCCCTAGTAGCCGTATAGAGCTCAGAAGATGACACGTAGCACATTCAGTTATGAGCACAGACGCAAATACCGCGATCCTCTATTTGGACTTGTGGTCAGTTTCCTTGGCACATTCTTTATGAAAACCTGACGGATCAGAGATAAATAAGACTGGTCTGTATTTAGCTCAGATCTTTTGTAACTTATCTTGTCATCACTAGGTTTTTTCAAAAGACAAGCACAAAACAAGCGATTACGATGGAGGCTGAATGTTTAACAGGCAACTCAGCTTATTCGAGCTGATTCTCCCGCTAATTTTGTTCTCTTATTGCATGTGCTGCTCAAAGGCTGCGGAATTTTCTGGTTGATACCAAGCCCAGATGAGGAACATCATAATGAAGAAAGTCATTTTGGTTTCCCGTTAAAACCAAATTACTGTGCGAATGGGTTTTTCGCGAATTGTCTAAAATTGGGGCCCAGGTGGAACCTAAAGCTCACGTAATCCAGATAACTGCAATCACCTGCTGAAACACAAGAAGGACGTTCGTAGCGTCAACAAATTCACAGGTCTGTCACTGACCGGCACAGTGTAGTGTCAACGTCCGCACACCAAACAGCGGTGAGCGGAATGATGGCTCAGTAGCGTGGGTTGCGGCCGTCCCTTCCGACGACGTCTCGTGATTCCCATTGGACGTGCGATCACACGGTGACCTGCAGAAATATGAACATAGATTAGGACGTTTTTTGGTTTGAGCACATACGCAACAAAATGCAATGTTTTGGCGTAGAAAGTTTTACTCACCCGTGAAGATTTTGCAGCTGAGATCATTGTGCGGATAATGGACAGCGGCCTCCGCGGCAAGGTGAGTGGCGGGCACGGATAAGCGAAACAACTGGAGATCAAAAGTACATAGGCGGAGTAAGCCAATGAATTGGGGAATTATCATAAGGTCAAGTTAGATTCAACAGTCGCATACTGTCGAAAAGCTTTCATCGAACTTACATGTATCATTGGCTGTCGTGGGCTGTCGAAGAGTTTTCAGCAACCTTGCGAGTAGTTTCCTTTATGAAAATATACTGCGATATCTCGAATATCGTGTCAACTGAATCATGAGGTGGCCTGTGTTCAGCACATTCAGCTGGAGGACATCATAAACGGGAGATTCTATTGAGTCTCTCGTGAAAACCAAATTGATTTGCAGATGAGTGTATTTCTCGAAAACAGTGCAATTTGGGTAATTTAGGCAGCAGATTTTCTTTTCATGGAAATAGGCTGACATAAGACCTCCTCTACGCCCGAACGCTCTTTACAAACACTAAGCAACTAGTAAATGTTTATATCAGCCTTTGATAGGGTAAGGTGAAGTTTCCTTAATTCAGCGGCAGCAAATATTTCGAGTCTGTGGTAAACCCTCACTTTGTCAACTGAGATTCACTAACGGAAAGTGTTTGTACCGCCCAACTAAACTGAAACTAGCGCTGCTAATGAAGATGCAGCCATCCTTTTACGTGACTACCTAGATTGACGAAATGTTCCCTTCATCTAACCTCGTGAAATTCGCTATTGAGTTCGTTGTGAAAAACACCATACCTCTTGATGAATTTCGACATAAGTTGCCACTAAATGCTACAATAAAAGAAAAAATCATGGAATACAATAACTACTTCTATGTGCCTTCGTTACTACAGACTGGTGAAATGAAAGCCTACATGTTTTTGGTACTGGATCAGCTTCTGGTAGTTGGATGTCGGACGATATCCGGTTTCTTAAATCAACAGCAGGTGACTGACATTCCATCGTTCGATAAACTGTTCACAAATAGGCCACTCAGTAAATGGACTGCTAATTTTGCAGAGTATCTGAGTAATTTCATTTAGATAAATGCACTACTCAGATACCTTTCTCGAACAGCGCACTGATGATTGTCGTTTTCGCGCTGATCGATTGCCTACTGCCTATTTTGTGACGCAGGCAAATTTCTTCTTAAAACATTGATAAAGATGACAGCGATTGTTGCAAGAAGCCGGTGACTCAGTGCATCTTACTCAGTATCCCAGTAAGAGGCATCCCAGTCCGTTGGAAGAGGGAAGCAAAATAAGTATCGCGGGTTCTCTGCAATTGTGTGACAGACATACGTCACGATTTTGCATCAAAACTGAACGGAATTACTGACAGCTCAGCGTGACACGAATTTCTTCTGTCAGTTTTCCAGTGTTTTTACTCTTTGGTTGCGCTAATCCGTACTGAATTTCAGTACTTCAAGGAACTCCGGAAGGTATTCAAATTACAACTAGGTAAGTTGAACGTTTGTCAACAACTTCAGAAGCGTGAATGGCGAAAGACAAAGTTGCTTCGTAACTTGGAGAAGCATGACCAACTGTAGCGTGCACACGAGGTTGTGACTCATATTAATGTGTAGGTAATGGTTGATTACTACCTGCAGTGCCTATTAGTAGTCACTCTAACGTTTTGCATCATTAACTTTCTATGTTTATTTTTCTACTAGCGGTTGCGCAGTTATTGAGTTTTTATCCTTGTGTTGACGCACGATAACGACGCTGCTAATCTTCAAATTTCAGAAGGGGAAACCAAATCGTTGTGTGAAAATTCTTACCGGAGCCTACGTGAAGCCAAACAACGAGCTCATAAATTGAGAGAGAATAATCGAAAATTGAGGTTGAGAATCGCAGAGCACGATATGGTAGGTACTCAAGTGCTGTAGTATGGAACTGATGAGCTATATCACTGAGCTTTTCACAACGCGTACCATCTATTTACTTTAATTTAGAAAAAATAAAATTGACCCCACCTTCTGATGAAGCGGTACCATCCTAAGAAAGGCTCCTCACAGTATGGGTTGAGAAGGACGCAACCAAATTCTTGTAGTCAGTATTACAGAATCATTTTGAAACGCATGTCATTCAGTACGGAGGGAACTGTCCACAGTAGGATGTCGTTCTTCATCTGAATCAGGATTCGCACAGTACAACTATGCTCTCAAACTACAATGTTCGCAAGTATTAAAACTGATTTAAGGTTCAGCTCAGATGGGGGATTTTAGGACATTCCGTCATGTTTGAGAAGTCAGCGGCCTATTCTTAACTTGAATTCCCACAAGTATCCGTATTTTCTATTAAGATCCCCCAAGTGAGTGAAAACAATAAATCAGCAAAATTCATATTTGTGATTGGGGAAGGATGGTTGTTAGTGAAATGGTCTTAGTATCTTCAGTGTGGGGCACTGACCAAGGCGTCAGGTGGCTTGTGCCAGTATATCTGTATGACACGCGAAATACGCGCATACCTGCGTTTTTGTGTATGACCGGGTCCTGTCTGTATGCCCATACTCTGTCTCCGTTACGCTCGAAATTAGCCAGCTTTTCCTCAAACCTGGCTGAGCAACGGTTACACGACCTTTAAGGTGTTCTTAGACTATCTAGCTCAATGACAAATGCAAAGGACCACCAGAATCTCGCTCTGGGCTTACTTTCTACTCTTATCCACCATTGTGGCTGCTCCAGCTTGTGGCTCTGAATTTCAGGGACGAATCCCAACAAGAATGATATACCTGTACGGAGTAGCTGAGTCCAATTTGACTGGGCTGTAAATATCACCCATCACAATCTCTTTCGATTCCATGTAATTCGGTGGAACGGATGTGCTAGGCAGTCCTACAAGCACTGGGCAACTTTGTTTTTTATTTTTCAGCCAGACGAAATCACTATTGCTCGGGTTTCTGGGTGGAAGTTTGATCGGCAGCTGTTTCTTCCTCATTTAACGACGTCGGTGAGTCCTCACATGAGTTATTGTTTGAAAAGTGAGGTTTGTCTCAAATTCTCGCACTACGTTCTTTCTTCAGACTGTCAATCTTCAGGCTTAGGAATAATGGGGCATCCAAGTAATTTTCAACTCCAATTGTGTCAAACGGCGTTTGTGAGCCAGGTTAAAAACCAGTGCACATTAACCAGGCAGAGAGCACGATTCTCTCGGAAGACCTCTGCAGAAGCACATACTGATGCTCCGGGGGATCGGACTTCACCATGAGGTGTGGCATAGAAAGTTCACATCCTGGGTTCGGTTGAATTTCAGTGCGTCTGGTCACCAAGTGTTTCTGGTTAGTTTTTTTAGAATTAAGCAGCCGCCAACTCCACTCCCAATGGAAGCATCGTTATAAATTACGGTTCATGGGCTTCTGATTCCAAGCCCGTTTAAAAGCCACAAGTTAGGTATTGACCAAACAAGAGTGACAAATCGGATTTGCCCATATTGTGGAATCGAAATTACCCACAACAGAGCCACTCAAGAATAATGAGCAATTTCTCCAGACTTATCGTCTAATGAATGGTGGATAGTGCTCACCTAAAAAAGAAACAAGATAGTTCTTTTCTAGAAAGCAATGGTGAGTTAGTTACTTTCCTAGCTCGACGAGCATACCAGCAACCGGTAATTCGTTCGAACTAAGTCGGCCGCCACGTTTTGGGAGAAAATATTCACAGGAGTCTCTAAGGCCAGAGTACCTTCTATTCTTCATGTATCCCTAGCTGTAGTCCACTCTCTGGGGTGATCGTAGTTCTCCTATCTTAATCTCAACCTTAAGGGTATACCCAAAAACACCCGTTTTCAACTTCATCCCTAGGATAGCAATAGGGTGGAACACCTTGTGGCTGAACTTCATGCATAAACACTACCGGATGGTTAGAAGTCAAAATGGATTTGTAGGTCTATAGAAACTTTTTTGCACATGGCGAATATTCGACCGATGTCTAGAGTATCGCTTTTCTAGGACAAAGGTTGAAGTTAATAAGGCTGCTAGAGAGCACGATTCTCTCGGAAGACCTCTGCAGAAGCACATACTGATGCTCCGGGGGATCGGACTTCACCATGAGGTGTGGCATAGAAAGTTCACATCCTGGGTTCGGTTGAATTTCAGTGCGTCTGGTCACCAAGTGTTTCTGGTTAGTTTTTTTAGAATTAAGCAGCCGCCAACTCCACTCCCAATGGAAGCATCGTTATAAATTACGGTTCATGGGCTTCTGATTCCAAGCCCGTTTAAAAGCCACAAGTTAGATGTTAAAGAAACTCATTCAGGTCAGCTGGGCAAGAGTTCCAAGAGTGCCAAAAGTTGTTCCATGTGAATCACTATGCAGTTCGTCCAAATGAGGAAAATTTTTGCTCTGCGAGTTCCAAGATTTATTCAGAATAGGCAGTAAGCCCAAACACGGTTGTAAGGCTTGGCTAGTGTCCTTGTTCATCGGATGCAGATTTGAGTTCAGTCTCTCACCTTTCAGAAACCTGACGCCGGTTTGGCGCCATCATATTACTTGTGATTTTATCAACCTTACTACAAAGTGTCAAAGTGTTATATCAAACAAAACGGGATGAAACACAACGGAACTAGCTAGGTTTGAGAGCTTTGTGTGCGTCTGCTCGTGTCAACATAATTCCATTGTATGCCCAGATATTCTCATTCCATGTTTGTGTCGAATCTTTCTCATTTTTGTTATGGGCTCACCTCACTGACCACATTAGCCATTCCTCTGGAGGACTGAAAGGGCAAGATCCATGATTGCCACTTCACTGACTCGGGTTCAATCCGGATCTACCTCCAACAGCTTTCAAGGTAATCTGTGCACAAGATGTCGCCGAATTAAAGTGCAAAAATATGCTCCGAAACGTGAATCTAATCTAGCGTTTGTGAGTTTGGTACGAAGTAATACGTCAAAACGTGTTTCGGTGATTCGTTTTTGGTTTTGTTTATCAATGTGGAGGCAACTAATAACGTAGAAAACGGATTCATCTCGTTTTTTTGTCTCACTGGTTGATAAGCGACACGCTATCTGATGTTGTTTATGTATATTGAAAGTTATTTCATTGAACCTGCTCTCAACCTATTTTTTTTTCCATTCTTTCCCAGCAAATTCTTGATCTAGTCGACGGTCGCATTGCAAAACAGATGAATCAACTAAATATGCTGAGATATAAAACCAGGTATTTGCACCGACTTTTTCACTACCGATGGTCTTTACTTCATTATTGTAGGGCATACACATTTTGACGACACCTCCAAAATTCTAGGTTCCTGTTTACGATGGAGTGCTAGCTGGGTGAAACCACAGAAGGACTTTTCAATTGTAGATTAGTCTTGTTTGGAAATCTTGCTTCCGTGCTGAAGAAATGCAACTGGCGAGTGAGGCACAATCGTGTTTTCTGGTGAACAAATAAGCTTCGTTGAAATCCAAACAATTTTTTTCTATACAGGACAGTTTGGGTTCGGTTCTCTTGCGTAAATTTAGTGCATTTCTTAATTGGCCAGTGGCCATAAACTCCTTGATCCAGGCACCACAAGTTGCTTTTGCCAATGCGGCGTGCTGTGCTGAGACAGAGATCAGTTAGTCCTCAAAACTGTTGTGCTATGAGTTCATCGAACAAACTCAGTTGTGTTATGTATTGAAACGTTTTAGTTGTAGTCGTATCTGACAAACGAGAGACTCAGAAGTGGACAATTTCTGACGAACATTATCTTGAAACACTGTGTTCTCCAACACATGCGTATACATAGGACTTCCTTAGTCTGTGGTGCACCTAGAATCAGACAGTAATAGTGAGTGAGCTGGGATCTGTCAACGGCTCATTGTTATTTTCTATTACAACAAAACTTATCCACTATCAGAATTCAGGCGCCGACCGCACTACACCAGTTGCTGTCAATTAGAAATTCGTTCAAAAGTGAATATTACCCACCTGAAATCCGTTCCTAACTATTCAACCATTCGTAACACACGGTTACCAGGACGTCTTCCGAGATGGGCAAGTAGCCGTCTGCATTTGTTACCATTTTCCATAAATGATGGAGTAATTTCCTAATCATTAACCACTGTTTAGTATTAGATATATTCGGAATATAAGACGATAAAAAATAAGCTATTTCTATTTCCCGATAGCACATGCTCAGCTAATGGACTTTGGAATGGCAAATGAAATCTACACATCCCTCCCAAGTCATATGACTGCCGCACCGGGTGCTGGCTTACATCTTCCAAACAACAGTGTATATGTGTGATCCATTCATCTAGAAGGCCGTAGTGGTTCAGCGCGTAAAAAAGGCGTATTCAATTTACTGATGATTTGGGAGTGCTGGAATGGCGATCAGGTTGAAATCACATCTCCGGCTAAACATTTCCAATATGATTAGCCGACATTAGAAAGTTTGTGACGAACCGAAGGTCTTACTTGAAGTACATATCACAACCCGACGGTCCTCCTGGGTTTCTGGAATGTGCATAACTATTGTGCACCCCCGGCAGACTGGCCACGCTTCCATTGTTTGTTCGTCTTTGGTTGTCCTAATGTTTTGTTATATAGGTGGTTGAAAGCGGAATTGCCAAACTGTCTTCGGACCTCAGATGTCAAGTTGTTTTCATTGTCTGTTTGACAGGTTGCGGCAAGAGAAACTTAGTCATTTGGATACACAAGCTAAACTGCTAGAGCTCGAATGGGAGCAGATGAAAGATTATCGAGTTGGTGATGAGGTAACAAATCAAGCCATACGAGTACTCGAAAACAAAATCGACAAAACAAAGATTAAGCAAAGCGAAGTCATCCACATTGGAAGAACCTATGCAGCAATCAAAGACAAGATGCAAGAAGTGAGTGTACCCCGATTTTCTAGATTCAGTGTACTGCTTCAGCAATAACCATGTAAGAGTGAAGTCGCGTTTTTTAGTTTAACCTCATAAAATATATTTGGTTGTTCCTATGGTGTCCCAGCGACGGATATTTCAGTTTACATTTAGTCGGATTGTGGACCGATTATTGGATGCATTCAGGCACCTAGATTTCGCTTCTCACAATTCAGCGGCTCAATAATGATAGCGCATTCCACGACGCGCACCACACTCTTGTCCTTGACTTTAATTCCGAACCAGCCAAGGAATGGTTAGCCATGGTTTTGTGGCATATCCATCAAACCCAACCACATTGAGTTCACCGTCTTCATAGAGTGGAACCCGGAGACTGAACATATAATTAAGTACGAGTGCCGAAATCGCTCAGCAACCTACTCAGTGATGCGCCTTTATCCAAGATGTCGCGTTCCAAGCGTAGCTAATCTTCCCGAGATCCACTCCTTTCGGATCAACCCATCAACTGCTTCAGCCACTGTTTTCAGTGTGTAACTATTTACTCTTCTTTCCCATATCACTGACAACAGAAAATGTGGCAACCATGATCACCGTAGAAAATTCACAAGGTATAAATGTGTTAATGACTAATTGCAGATGGTTTGCTCAATTCCATCAAGACAAAGAACGACTGATCGATTGACCCAAGTGCTTTGAGGACAGCTTTTTGCCTACTACTTAGGTTGATTTACAACAGATATCTGAACTGCTTAAATCGCCACCAATCGTCCTGCATCTAGAAACTAAATGTTTTCAGTTCCGAGCTGACCTAGTTCCGGTCAGTCGGCATGCGACTGTTCATGTAACCGATTACTCTGTTGTGCATTTCTCATGTAACTGACCAAATAGTCGTATTACCGAGAATATGGTAACCTAGTAGTAGGACGACTTTGCTTTTGGAAGTGAAATTATACCGCGTACGTTTACATGCAAGCGAAGCAAATAGTGACTCTTAGTCAACATTGTTTCGAAAGACAGCGTTATCTAGCAATTTATAACCTGAATTACATTACCACCTTGTGGGGTATTCTTGAAAAACCAGAGCGGTTCTTCTCGAAAATTTTATGCTGTTTTGTGGAGTTTGTTTCCATTGATAACTGTCACGTGAGCCTGCTTTATAGCTGAGGTCGAATGTATCGAACGTCCTAATCTGGTTTAAGCAATCAGGAGTTAAGTTTCGTCTGTAGCGACCATCACGTCAAGATTGAATATTTAAGCCTGGTACGCAAAATTTAGCCAGTGAGTAGATTCTATCCCGTTATCTTCGTATTCCTGTTTAGAACGATGCGAGGGTTTTGAGTTTGGAAATTGAAAAGAGGATATCGATGGGGAAAACGGAAACAATATCAAATTTAAAACAGTCGTCATTGAATCATCTGTGCAGCCTAGGACCTGTGCATTCGTCTCAAAGCTGGCTCAATTTTTTCCTAGGCAAGGATATAATGTTTTGAATAGCTAGAAGTATACCAATACATGAAATGGCTATAAAACATTAATGCTGGAGTACCCTAATTCCGTCTAGAATATTTACATATTGGCCTTCTAGAACTACGCTAGTTCCTCCCAACGGAGACCACTACATGCAAAGTTATATTTGGTCTCTCCTAAAGCTGTTATGTGGGATATTCACGAACGAGATCGTTGGAAGATAGCAATGCTAACTGGGGGTTTTCCGTGGAGCAACCTCTCTAAGGGAAGTTTGTAACGACTAACAACTACAACTGTTGAATTACTCTTGCTTTTTTAACAGGAGACCTTAACGTATGCAAGTACTGCGGATGCGATTCAGTACGAAATTGAACGGTGTGCACGCAAATTACAAGAGCTCCGTCCAATCTTTGAGAGCGCTATCTCCGTACGAGAAAAGACCAAAACCGAACTACAAAGACACGAAGAACTAACTTTTGCGCAGAGGAAGCGTCGCGAAATGGAGCTTATAAGCATGCGACGCATAGTAGAATCAAAGAAAGATAAACCGATAACACACAAGAATCCTCTGGTAGGTGGTAGATTTTTCAGTCCTTTCAAGCGATTGGACGAATCGACCAAGGAATATTTGGATTTGTTCGTGCAAATTCTTCGTGTCAGTAAGGAATTGAACTGATGATTGAAGTACTGTGTGAGAGCGTTTAAACTATGCATTTCAGTAACTAGGCTAGCGAGGGTGGTAAACGACAATTTTGGGTAGTGGCTTTCCCAATTTACACATAAGGCACATTCCTTAAGCTTACCTAGAGACATTTAAGTACCACTTCCCAGTTGTTACACTTTTGAAATTCCTGCGAAAGAAGGATTCCCTCCATGAGTCCCGTATCTGAATTAGTATTGTTGTTCTGTCAAAAGCGTTCCAAAGCTTAACTCATTTTTGAACTGTTGGGACTTGTGCACAATCCTGGACCACGAAAAACCTGCGCTATCTTGACCACAGTGATTGAACTGTGTGCGCATTTGAAACATACAAACTTGAAGTGGAAACTGAAAAGTTTATGCATCTCGCATATGTATTTGCGCCACTTCCATTCTCAGGATTCGTCAACACACGGAACCCAGTGATGTGATTGTACAACTCTCAACTACCCATCTGAGAAGGAATAATAGGAATTCAGTTAAACCACTTAGATGAACACAACTAAAGAGCACCAAAATGTGCATGATTAATCCTTGGTAATGGGTCACAAGTACTTTTCCATGTGGGCAGTAAAAGTAGTAGAACGCCCAATGACTGATATAGAGAATTTCGGTACCTCGGGTAGTTTAGTTGATAGCTGAGTTGTTCTCTGAACTCGACGGATTTTTGACAAATATCCCGGCACCAGTCGGGATGACGTATTGGTCGTGTGTTTGGGGAAGGGCTAGTTGAATTCAAATAACAGGTCTTTGATTAAGCCTTCATAACACCGAATCACTTAAAAACAAATCTATGGGGGGTTATATTGTACCATAAATACATCAGGGTACCTCTGGAATTTCAATTATATGTGCCTTTTATTACCAAGTCCGTCTATCTACTTCTCAAGGATCCCACCTACGACTTAGGACTAGCAGTAAAACGCGTTATTCGCAGAAAAATTTCACCATACCATGACCCAATTGAATGGACATGAAAATGAGTTTAGTGCTTACATACCTAGTTAACCGATATGACAGCCCCTTTTACATGACCTGCGTGTTGACCTAGTGCCAGTTGACTAAGCGTTCAATGTACTGTTCTTGAGGCATCAGATCAGACCCATTATGAGCCTGACGATACAGTGGAGTTTTCAACTGAGCTGTCATCCTGTAAGTGAATCTAATCTATTTTGGAAAGCCTAGAGGTACTTAAGAACTGTTTCATCCTTTCTGGAAATCATCAGCTAACGAAACTCTTGGAGGGCTTGAGCTGGCAGCCTCTCCACTAGTAGCGGAGTGATTTAAGGCTGAATACATGTATGATTCTGTATATCAGTCTCCTAATTAACTGATGTGGTCTCCCAAGAGTGTTCTCACCACACATACGTTGGGTCGAGCGTTATCTATCAATGGATTTTCTTGATTAACTATCCATCCCCTGAAACAATCGTCATTGAGGGTTAACGAGCAACTGGGCGCTGTTTATTTACTTGACTGCTGGTTACAAATACCGATTCCTGTGTATTTTAAATGGTGGTAAGCCGTTTTTCAATTATCGTGCTCACCAATTATTAGCACAAAAAGAACTTTTGTTTGTTAGGCCGAGTAATCCAAAGTGCCGCAAGCTGTGCCATCTGGTCAGTCAAACAGCCAGGTTCAAAACATCAGGCAAACCAGGCTGTGTTAAAATGGAAATAAATCTGAAATGAGTTAATTCGCTACACATATTCAAAACCAATCCCTTGAGCGTAAAACAGTTACAGAGATTAAGATTTATTTTGTGGTGAATGATGAAGATTTATGTAAATAAGAGGAGACCAGGATAAGCTTGGTTCTTGATGAGGCCCTTTGATTGCCAGATGACAGTGAAGGAGGTTCTCCTCGATCTCGAGGCGTTTTATCCATGGGGAATTGTTGATTCTAACTGAAACTATCCTGTATGACTTGAGATGAAAAACAAAGGATGTAGTAGTAGTACTCTGTGAGAGCTCTTCCTCTGAAGTGATCGTGATCTTCGGGGGCGACGGAATTGCTTTGCTTCCTTAGCAGACTTATGCAGTGTCAGTGAGTTGCTGCTCGTGAGATTTTTCGACCACAAGCAAGACATTACTGAGTAAAAAGTACACGTGGTTATCCTGTTAAGCATCGATAGCTGTTTCACCCTCCATACCAGCAGGTAACTTGAGTTTTGAGCGTTCAACAAGTTTGAGTAATTGTTATATACATAACACAGATTGCGCAGATCCGCTTCCTTCATCAACAGAGAGTATCACTGTAGCCAGATATGGGGTGTATATACCGATTTGAATAAGCTGTTTGGCATCCCTTCATACTTCTGTAGCAGTGTACTAGTGAATAAGATCTACCGAGCGTTCCATGTGTCAGTGGCTTGGTTTCCCAAAACCACCAAACATCTACTACAATTTTGCTCCCTGCTCCGTTTGACAATTAAACTTTCATAATATAGCCACATGTGGCTTCATTCTCACTACCTACTGTTCTTTATTTAAGCTGGAACAAGAGCTACGAAAATTGGATGTAAGTTGGCTGAAAATTCCGTTGAACTTGTTTTTGGTGCGGATATTCTTTTCTTGTTATGCCTAAAGGTCGACTTGTCAGAATGACTGACGGTTTTATGACAATGGACACTGTGATCAGACCACAGCACTACTCACTACCGCGACTAGGTGTTGACTAGTCACTGACTTAGCATTGACGTAACCGTTTGACCAGAAAGTCCAGGTATCGATCAAGTCTGTCGAACTCGATGCTCAGCTGCCAGTCAAGCTTTGAGGACCGTGTGTATGGATATCGTGTGCACGTTCATGAAGCAGCGGTCAAAGGAATCTGCCCCACTCATTGCCTAACCAGAGCTCTAGTCCAAGGAAATAGGGAATATGTTTATGATGTGTTGATAGAAGTACCTCCTGAGCCGCAGTAGGCCCTTGCTAACTGAATATCCGCACAAACATATCCTTCGGTTCAGAATCACGCTTACGATCATGGATATATGTAGTAAAATTAGCCAGGAGACAGTCGGCAAGTGTGGGAGAGAAAACATAGCACTGTGTACGAGTTGGCTCTCCTCTTTTTCGGTGTTTGTCGTGAACCAAGCTTGTGTAAAATAATTTAGAAGCTAATGGATGTTGGACTAGATGGATTTAGTTATTTAGCTACTTGGGTAGTTAATAGTAATTCATTCACCAACTCGACACCGGCAATAATGGCGTTGGAATTGTCTCAAAACACAGGCGGCCCTCAGTTGATTTTCGCGGGATACTCAACCAAATCCAACTGAATGCTTCGTTGATGATGTACTACACCTGAATGTACTGCGCGAGGCTGTATCATCTTTCATTTGGTGCGATACTTGGGATATCACAACAAATTGTTTAGACGTTGCACATCATCCTAATTTCCACAATTCAATCGGGCAAAATTCAGTAACACACCAGGCTTTCAAGAGTATTGAAAACGATCTATTTCAATAGTGAATGACAGAAACGAATTACGAGAAGACGCAGAGAAGTAAGCGGTAAGAATTCAACGCACTGATATACTTCTACTTGCACAAATTTACAGAACAATGGATGTACTAGTTCCGTAGAGAGGCGTCAGGATTTCATGAGAATGAAATCTCAAATCTTAGCAGAATATTTGACCGGAATATAACAGACGACATAAAAATGACACAGGAACATACCAACAGGAAGGCTGAAAGCCACTGAAACAAAGAAAACAAACCTGATATGCCTTCGAGAATATACTAGTAAACTAGGTTTCAGGTTGTGGGCTTCATTAGAAATACCGATAAATACCACAATTCTGCGAGAACTTCCTTCAGTTGACTAAGGCTTTTAGAGAAATATTTGGTGAACATCTTATGATGGGCCTCCGATTGGCTGCAGTCGACAAGGGGACACAACAATTTCGTATCGTTGGTAGTGTGAGAAGATTTGGGTTTTTTTTGTGAAGATTTTGTCCTGTAAGTGAAGTCAATCTATGCTAAAAAGCAGAGAAGAACCGCTTCTCGTCGACAAACTTTCAGCAAACTTATGAGCGGTGCATTACGAAAGTCAGAGAGCATCTTGGATGCTACTTCATAACGACTGCGACCGATACCACAACAGTTTTCGCATGGCACTCTGAAACCTTTTTAGAGACTCGAATCACGGTTCCAGCGCCCATTTCACCAGCATCCAATTTTCGTTCAAAATGGCTTGGAGTTAATCAGGAATTCATGTTCTTCAAACAGTGCACACCATCCGGACCAATGGTCTTGTCACGTTAGAGATAAATAAATCATGGTTGAAAGGAGGCGAATCATCGGTAATCAACACTGACATCATGCTGTCGATGGCGATTTTGATGGCAGTCTAGCAATGATGCTAACTTCGTCGGGTCCATTCAGGCGGTTGTTTTGAAGGAGGACGGCTGGACTACTGTATAAAGCACTCAAAACTTTACTCCAAACGACTATTCCGCAAGTAAACCATCATCTATCTTTGCATATTGTATCGCTAACACCTGACTTCTTTCGTTCGGTTGGCCGAACCACCTAAAATAGGGCATGGCTGTTGCCTTGAGTGAAAATCTTATCTATCTTTCAGGGCTACAGAATCCACCAGCGTTCTATGCCATTTTTAGTCTCTTGACTATCCAGCGTTTGAGGGATCTGCATACACGAACGTGGCTACTATTTATTAATGTGGATTTTCTTATAACAATAAGGTCTGTTGATCTCGATGACATCCAGTATTCAATTTGGTCGAGTCTGATGGTTTGTACAGATAGTTCCAGAATCTGGGAGCATAGCTTCTGTCACTCTCTTTCATTTCTCCCTTAGACAATCTTCATCATCCGCATGACAGTGCGTTTTTAGCAGCCTTTCAGCCAGATCAGTTCGAAACTGTTTAGCTGCTGAAACTCGTCAAAATTGATGAACGCTTTGCAATGCATAATACCGACTGAATACGAGCGGACAACCGGGGCCACACAATAACACGATCGGGTTCAAGTTAATAACAACATGGGTAACTGACAGTCACCTGGTCAAAATGTATCCGTGACTAGCTTGTGGTTGGTCTCCTCCAAGTAGCTCGGTGTGAGCGCTGGTGCTGAAAGACCACAGTGACCAGGAACAGGCAATGTTCAGCAAACAACTAAATAAGTCTTTCCCCATTTTCCATATACTGAATATCGACTCCGGATTTCACACCGGACTGTGTTTCACCCGCACATAATCGTCTAACGTGTGGTTCATATGGCCCTACTTGTTGATACTATCCGTTCTTCTTGTTGACCGACGCAGTCGTGACAGGCCTTAAATCTCCTGTCAAAACCGAATTGGTATGCAAATGAGTGTTTCACAAATAGACACTGTTTACCGTATCGAACTGCAGCGATCTTACTTGAACTAGGCAACCCTATAGCACAGAGACATCCGCTTACTTGGAACCGTTCCAGAAAGTCGTTTCCAAGCCTGAGGCTGGTCGCAGCCCTCACGCTATAGACACCACGAACCACTTCACCAAGCACCCGAAGAGTGAAACATATGAGTCTTGGGTGAGTGTTCCGGAGACAACACACAATGGTCAGAAAAGGAGAGCAAAATTTCAGCAAAGTATACTCGTTGCCCAATTTGGGATTGTGGACTGAAACGTGGATAAGATTTTTCAAAATTTTGTTACAGATTATATCGGTTTCCTTTGCTGGACGATAGTTGTTAGGGGACTGGCAGATGGATTGACCACAGCGGGTCAGTTGATGGGTAGAGAGAATGCCGGTAAACGATGCCTAGCGGTTGCCCCGGTCGGGTTTGTTTGAAGTGCTCCACCTTGATGCAGGACTACTCATAAGGTTGCTGAAAACTCTTACATTGAGCAATGTACTACGTCTATGCAATGTATCACGGTATCCTGAACATTGTGTCAACTGAAACATGGAGCGACCTGGTGCAGCGCACTCAGCTGCTTAAAAACACCATAAGAAACGAGAGATGAAGCTGGGTTGCAGTTAGGTCTCCCGTTAAAACCAAATTGGCATGCGAATGAGTGTATTTCGCTACCCGACCTTGACCATATGACTCAAAAGTTTAACGCACAGACAGCGGCAGGTGAATCGGTAAATGTAATGAATGTGGTTGGGGGGACACATGCATTGGTAAGACTGACCCAAAGCTATAAACATCGACAAGAGGGCACCTGTCCAAACGAAATCCACCCTCTCAGCTAATCCTGATTTATCTCGGGAGAAATTGAAAACCAGGTCATCAGTTATAAGGTATTTCATATAGGCGAGACACAGAGGAACTCTGCTCTTTTTCCCATATCATAGACTGAAGTTCGGCAAGGTGATGTTGATTAATCGATTAAGACCTGTCCTGTGCGTTCGGAAACACCAGAGTCATTATGAGACTACTTCGGTTTTATTGATCGATCATCTTACTTTTCAGTACCGTATAAACGATACAGCTAGACACGTTTTTTTGTTTCACTTCGTTCCGTTTTGCACGTGTTGCCGCAGATAAGAATGTATGAAATGAATTCTTCTTGCAACTCCAAGAGACGTCCCAGCTAACGTAGCCTACAGAATCATGATTGCACTCCAGTACTTTTCGAGCTGTTATAACTCCGAAGTTTAACGTGAAAACGACTAGCATTCTTACGCCTGCTTCAAATGATTCGCATTCCTAGTTATCGAGCTGTGGTATTTGTCTGTTGCTAACGCGCCCCTAACCTATTGTTTCGTCAGAGCATCAAAACAACGATGACAAAAAACACCACTGATAATTTATCTGCAGGTATTGTGAACACACCCCAAAGCTAATCGGTAATTCAAGTGTAAAAATGTTGCTATTGTGACCAAAGTGAGGAGCCAGTCTTTCAGTCAAAGTCAAACAAACTAAAAGTATTTATCACCTCTTTAAATGACGCTCAAATGAATAGTTTCTGAGGGAATAAAACAGTATCAAATCCACCCACCAAAGGTAAACAAATCACTAAGAGTTTCGTGGTACGCTGCCTGCCTCGACCGAGCAGCCTTGGTAATGAAGAATTACTATGGAGCACGAATTGCTCTGTAATAACTTGTTTCTCGCATTTCAACTAACAGCCGGAAGCGGTTGGTGATGAAATGGAAGAAGAATTGGCTTCTGAGTCACAAACTCGATTGAATCACCTAAGTAGAATAAACGAACAACTGAAGCAAATCACAGGCTACTTCGATCTGACAGACATCGTCAAACGCATGGAGGAACTCATGGAAACAGGGCGGCAGCTGGAACGTTTGCGGGCACAAAACGATCACAGAATCAAACAGCTGAAGCTACAGTCAAAAACGATGGAAGAACACCTAGCCCTGTTACGAATAGCCTACGAATATGCCAAAGACAAGTGAGCTGTCGACAGCAAAGTGTTCCTTTTAGCTGATCCTTCGTCCATTAAATTGGTCGTCCTGACGAGCGGGCATCAACCAAGCAGGGGCTATTGCCCTCTCCTGGTTATTGCCACTGTTCAGGGCGATTCTACACTAAGTAGTGGATAATACGGAACGCCCTTACACCTCCCTCGCTCATTATGAATCTTCCTGTGTCCCAGACTAGAATCCTCGAAACTCGATCATAAGGCAAAGGAAGAAGAGAGTGTGCACAGTCGTGTAAAGCTCCGAGACGATTCAAAGGATAAACAACAAGCCCTGGATCGCATCAATCTCACACTGGAGCACCTGTACAAGAAGTTGGTACTGGTTAGCATTTTCGGAAGGCGTGACAAAAAGCGCCCAGTCGTGAAGGAGTTCCCCCAAAATTTTTCCCCTGTAGAGCTTCTTGGGAAATGCAACGGGTTACAACAACAACTTGAAAGAGATTTGGAGGAATATGACATTTCGGAGGAAGAGGAACGTCTGGAGGAGGCACTGGTGAGTTACCCATTTCCATGATTTTGTATCATATAGCATCTTACAGTTCTTCTAAATAGTGTGGTCAGGATTCGCAAGATGGTACAAACTTTATATTTATATATATATATA